GTTTGGCCGTTGCGATCTAACGCTTCGACATCACAGTGGACTTCTGTTAAGAGTTGCACGACTTGGAGTCCATGTTCTGCAGCAATTGACAAGGCTGTCTGGCCGCTATCGCTAGAACGCGAATCAACATATGCCATAGATTTCGACGGCTGACGGTTGGCGTATGCAGACCACTTCAGCGTACGCTTCGTGGGTTGATGTGCAAGCTTTTTGGTAGTGTTCTGTGGTTCCGAGCGACAGCGAGCAGATCCGAATTCATAAGTGCCGGTGTTGCCTTAACAGCTGATAGTTCTCTTACGTCCATCAACGTTGGCTCCCGCCGGTTACCAGCCTCCAAGATGTTTGTTACAGTCTCGACAAGACCAGAACGGGCTGCCCAGAGAAGGGCGGTACTACCAGAATGACGAATGTTGTGCTGGTAGAGAGTGCGCTTTAGCAACAAATGAAGGTCCCTGCACACTATCGAAAAAGAAGATATATCCGGCCGCCCTTCCGGAGATTAGCGATATGACGCAAAAGTTCATTAGGCAGAATGAAAATTTGTATCGATAGTAAATCGGAAAGATTGATATATAGCTTGCAGTAGGAGCTCGCTATCGTGAAAAGTTTTTGGGATTTATAAACAGTAGTTTCAGTACCACCTACGTACACAAAGTACCAAATGTCTGTGAATGTGAACACCATACAGTCTGTGAACATCCAATCCCCCACCAAATCTACAAAACCAATTGTGATCGATTTATCAACCACGTATTAATTGTATTAGCTAGATAATAATACTAGTAATTAAATATATTATTACAGCCGAGAGAAAGTGGGTACAATTCCGTGCATTCGACAAAGGAAACAAGTGTAGAGAAGGGAAGGAAGAAGAGAATCTATCTACCAGGGAGGTGTTGATCTACACCATCTCTTATCATCCCGCTTCATTTTGCAGACTTCAGGATGCAAACTGAGCACTCCATATAGTGACGCTAGACTACCCGTCACATACATCAATATCTAGCATACCAGCCCTTCGCCTTCTTGACCACGGCAATTTTGCGTTGGAGAAATTGGATAGAGCTATCAATCTTGCTCTGGTCTATTAAATTCCATCCAACCTTGAGCCCAGTGAGAAATTGATCCCAATTCATCTTAGACCTTCCTGTATCGGCTAATTGAGGAGAAAGCTCGAAGATTTTCTCTATTAATAGATTCCACGCGTTGTCAAAATTGAGAGATACATTGTGGGACTGAGGGCTTCAAGGGCATTTTGAGACCGTTTCGACACTATCTGGACTGATTTTTGGGCTGATTTCTATGACAATACGCCGTTTTCCTTTGTATTTACTGTTTCATGCGCTTTGGCTGGTTTTCGGATCACTCTTGCTTCCGCCGGAGGAAGCGCCTGCATAGCCATACGCCACTAGATAATAGTGTAGATTGTGGATGGATTGATTGGATTTGAAATGGCCAGGAATTGATTGCCTGATATTGTCGGTACAGACAAGCCCAGGGGCGGGATTAGCGGCGGGAATAGCGTGACCTGCAAGGCAAAAAATGAAATTTCCCAAAGTCTTCAAACAGCGGCAGCCATTTCGAATGATGCCAGAACGGAAACTTCAAATCAGCCACCAGCCCGGGTATAGGGGGACAGAAAGATATAATTCCGAATGTACTCTAGATTTGTCACTAAATAAATATAGCACGCATACGCAGGAAGGAAATGAAGTGGGATTCACATTATACATTAATATAGAATTGGAATCGATACCGTGATAAATGTTAAGGAGGCCCATGGGCTAGCAGTGCACAGCATCAGAAATTATTAGGCATGGCTTTGCATAGGTGCCCAGACTTTGCGAGGTGGTTCTCCATACCACCGCTACAACTTCAACATTGCCTGGCGCAGGCAAGTATTCATGTATAGTAAAGTAGAACAGATGCTAACACCGCACCCAGAAAGTTTGTCAAGAGTGGGGTGCTGCCCTCAAGTGCCCGATATCGAGAAGCCATCCTTTCCGAACCCTTTTTCCAAGACTTATAGGAAAGCTGCACTCTGTTTCTGACAATGCATTCCAAATAATTTTGTTGTATTGTGTGGACCTCTTCCTTCGTATATTGAGGACGCCCCTTGGAAATCTGATTTCAGATCCAAAATCCTTCATTCAGTCGTTTATAGCGTGCTTTATACTATCACAAAAAGGTAACCCCTCCCCCTCTCCCCCTACCCGGCCAGTGGCCCCTTCTCTTGCAAGGGAATGTGAACTTGACTGACTATGGGCAAGTTATGAGCCGTGATGCTATAAGAACGGATTTTCTAGAACAATACTCAATGAAATACAGGATAAGTCTGGAAAAATGGGAGTTGTCCATACTGGAAAGTCTTGACTGGAACCTACAAATGTCTACTTGGTTTGAAGCGGTGGCCAATATCGCAGAACAGGGGGCAAAAGCCGTTGACAGAGACAGTCAGGATAAGACAAACTTGGTGCCTTCTTTCATTGCGACATTCGACTTACTCTCTTTATCATAGAGCAGGTTCTTTCATTGCCAGCTTAATGAAGTCTCTTCGAATAACTCTGCCAAGATCAGTGAGAGATTGATCCAAGCAGCTATGCCGCGATAGTCCCATGAAGACTGGAAAAGTGGGCCGAGGATCCCGGTTTAGTTGTCTACATAACCAATGTCGAGTATTGGTTAGGTTACCCAGTAATGCTTACGTCATGTTGCCCTAGCTTGCAGTAACTAGCAGCTCTGTTTAACTGAACTGCCCCATCCCCATCCTAATTTCTTGAAAAGACATGTGTTTTGCGATACACTACTGGCTTGGTATATACAATATTCGGACGGCATGGTATACACTTACAAAGTGCCCTTTGTTTATTCATCGGTTACGAAGCGTTTGTCGGTAAGCAATATCATCTTCAGATTGGACTATGTTTGAATCAACATTGGTACACTGTCTTCAGAAATATATGTGCGTCACCAACACACTTCCATGTTTGTTCCTCGGATCCTGATTGCCAAAGTATACATTGAGAGTTTTCCCGCACTGTCCGTGCTCAATAGAACGGAGTTATATTTTCCAGTAATTCCCAGAAACGTACCATCAACTGACACATCAGCGCCACGTTAGAAATGCCCCCCAATGAAGATTTCCCAACCATTTTCTCCACATACGATCTCACCTTCCGGATCGGTCCGTCCCCTTTCATTGGCTTTCATTGCAATCCATATTGAATCATCTCGGCACGGTCATGAATGGCGCCTGTCACAATCCCTGTTATTATGCAATCCACAAAATTCCCCACTCAGCGGATTCGGCTATTATGAAGTGAGTATACACAAGATTGACCTCAGCTAAGCATCTAGACCATCGAAGGGACGAGCCAAGTAGTAAGCTTGAGTAGTAGCTTTCCCAAGAGTGTGTTATAAATGAAACTACGATCAGCTTCAGGAAGATACGAGCGCTTTTATTATGTCGACAAGCGCCGAGAATACGACAGGATATAGTAATCAGCAACACGTTTCAGCGAATAAAAGATGAAGGATAGCAGAGCTGGACGAGTAGCTTCGACAGCTCAAGGATAAGCGCAAGGGGCCGAGTCTATTAACGAAAGTCCAAGAAGAGCTGGTTAGACTCTACGCAGAGAGAGACGGAAAGGGCTACTAAGGAGACGTGATGGCTATACTAATGCCCGTTTCTGCCACGCAAAGTGACAAAATATGCAAAACAAACGCAAAACCAAGAGTCTAGCATAGTTACCACTCTTGTGAAACAACGACCGGAATGGAGTATCAGTCGAAAAATTTGAGGAAATACGAACCCTTGAGAACGATAATCTCTATCGCCTTTTCTAAAATAGGATTAAAGAAGATATGAGAAAGATAGAAGCGGGCTGGATCGAAATCATTTCGCGACGAGAACAGAAAACGATATTGGGCGGATTAAAAAGAAGAGTGAAGCGAATTGGGCTGGGCCATCGACCCATGCATACTTCACGAGAGCAAATATCCATTTCCATCGATTAAGTGTTTGGGATTTTGGGTATTGTTCTAAAATTTGTCTACAGAAGTACGAAGTAACTTACAAGAGAAGCCGGGAAGTGCTAATTTGGGGGGGGGGACATAAGGTTGACAGGGTTACACTATAATCTTTGATTATTCAAATTCACTAGATGTATGCAGATAACGGCCGACCAGGGTATTGCCTGAAAATAAAACTTTCAGATTACCAAACGTCCATACGATAGAGAAGATTCCAAAATGGCATGCCTGCTGGAGCCGGGCCGGCAGCCTCTACCTTCTGCTTGCTGAAAGATACCTGCTGCTGATCATGACATGAAGGGCTTGGGCTTGGAAGGAGCCAGACGACGCACCCTCCTTTGATTTCCTGCTAAAGGATGACCGTCAAGGTGGGGTGGGGCATTGAGTTGTAGGGTATATTTACAATAAATGCTGAGGTTCTGGCCGTTTTAGGTATAATACAAGCTAGCTCCTGAGACAAGGCGTTTTTGGATAAATTTCCTTTCTGTAGTTAAGGGTCTAATGAATAACTAAGTTTAAGGAAACAATCGACGAATGTGAATAGTGACCCAGGTTTCCGGAAGCTTTGTGCGATTCCGGGAGAAGACTGGAGAAGGGTTGTAAAACAATATATTGTTTCTGGGCAGGAAATGTGGAATTCCAAGTCTCCTTTACATGCTCTCTGAACGCTTCCTCGCCTGGGTAAGTCTCCCGCCAGGGGCTTCACGCTTTTCACCTCTATCCTCACCCCAGGCTCTCCTTCTCTCGTAGTATAACAGCATTTATTTCCATGAACACGGTTCTTTCATCCAAACCTCCATAGCGGTATTATGGGTCCTGTCAGCCCACCACAACAATCACAGTGATGTTGACTCGTCGGTCATTGAAAACTCTCTTTCAACGGAAGTGTGTTATCTTACGGAAAAGCAGTCTAATCGTTAGTTTTGATACATCATTGGACTAGCAATTTCATTTCAACTCCTCGGAATTCAAGTATGGCTGTTGTACCACGCCGCCTCAGGAACCGTAGCCTCAGGAACCGTAGGGATCACACCTTGGGCCTAGTGAAAAATTCGATCAAGAACACGGCCAAGTAGTACCAAAATTCGGCTAAGTTGTGAACTGCTTGATGCAAACGTTGAAATTTTGGGTCTATGTCATCCGTTTCTACGGTCGTTAGACATACGCTGGCTTCTCCCGTAGCGAGAGGGTCGATATTTTCCTGGTTTGACGAATTATGCAGGGGAGTCTTCCGAATTTTGTCAACGTCTGCACTCGGACATGAATAAGCCTTCTTACCTCAGATATCACGTTGCTGCTCTGTGCCGGAGACAACTGGGTTTCCGCGGAGGAGGTCAATGGCTGCTTAGTCCTTAGCCGCGCCATTACGCAAATAAGAGGTCGGAGTTTTACGTATTTTCGAGATAGAGCTGCGAACAGCAGGGACATATAAGTAGCAATTCAAAGCTTGATTCCCGTTTATTTTCAAACACCTTTTTTTGATGCGACTAATAGTGTCCATGTTGCCATGTATGCCCGCTACGATAGGATGCAGTTTTAGTCTCTATTTTTATCGTACCTGTATTTGGACAAAGGCAATCGATTTATTGAATTCAAATTTATTTTCGCTCGATTCTTCTGGGCAGCCAGGGATACCTGGCAGCGCCAAATAGTGAGAATATGGAAAGGTCGCTCCTAAGCGAACTTGAAGTATTGTAGAGTCATTTGAAAAAGCAATGATCACTTCCTTGGAGACATGGAACCTAATCTTCTGTGTTGTCATAACTTTAGTATTGATCTTCTTCCAATACGAACCTCTATTACTACATGAAGGTTTAACGACCTAGTTGATGTCAGAAATAAATGTCCTTGATAACGCAGCTTAAATTGACCGATTCTTCGCCTCAAGTTTGTTCATCATCAACGGCTCAGGATACTGTAGCAGAAATGGAAACGTATGTCTCCTGTGCCATTCTAGATTAACAAAGTGTGACAGACATCGCTCATAATGTCCCCGAAACGTCGAGCTTGGCAGAACGTGCCATCAACAACATCAATGTCCCTCTTGGATCTGTGCCGAGTAAGGAATTGAACTAATAAGTTAGTATGTAAGGATGTGGCATTGAAGACAAGTCTAATCATAGTATATGAAGGAAGCTTTTTTTACGAGGGCTCTCTGCTCACAAGCTAATGGCTATATATTCACTCTAAACGCTACTTGACCAGTCTAGGATTAGACCATGGATCTACACCTATTGTACAGGTACAACCATGTCCCCGGCAGCAATTGTTCTTCTGTGGCCATTGTCTCCCTTCGGTGATTGGATCGTATAGTTCTCATATGTAATGTGGCCAGTAAATTGACGTACGCCCACACTGACAGATGGTTTGTTGGCTTCGAGCAATTCATGATCAACTGGCCCGACTTTTCGCGCAGAGTCAAATTGAACCTTACTAGGCCCAATGCGGATAGTCGGCCAGTGGCACTGACGAAAAGGGTACTTTTCGTTCGTTGAACGCGTTGGCTGCTCACCCACCATGATATTCGCTTGTTTCTCATCACAGTCCAAAGATGTTTGATTTAGATACTCATTCTCTACTTCGGAAAACCTGGTTACAGATTCACACTGCAGAGAAGTTCCGAGTACTTTGGGCGTGGTTTTTTCGACGGAGCACACGGAAGAGCAACATCTATCAGACTTGGCACAAGAGAAGCATGACCAGGATGCCTTTGGTCTGAAGACCCTCCGTAGTCGACTTCGGTAGGTCCCACTTGGAGGAGATGGGGGCAGAGTTTCAGTCGTGCGCTGCGAGCAGATTATGGCGAGGGTGCAAGGTTCACCCAAGACCTTCGAGAAGAACGTCTTGACGGGACTAATATCATATTTCTGCACCCACAGTATATCCTTGTGCCGCCTGACAGATTCGGTGCTTGGTCTGCACCGTTGGTTGGGCTGTGCAACAGGAAGCGGAATCTTGACATTAAATTGATTCGGTCCAGTCCACTTAAAACATGAAAGGTGAAGAACGCGATGATGGAGCTGAACAGTCGGACGAATTTCTAACATGCGAGGATGCTTATGGCTCTCCAGGATCTCATTTGTGGCGTCATGTATTAGACACCATGTGTGATTCCAAGCCAACCCATTTTCGTGGATTTCCCATCGTTTGCCCATGGGAATACTGTAACCACCACAGCCCAAAATGGGGAAAACTGTCAGGGCTTCAACGAAAAGTTGAGCAGCGAATGGTTTAACGCTTGGTTGAGGAGGAAGCAAGTGAGTAGTGTCTGGTCCTTCCTCCACGTAGGTATCGTGAAGGAAGGAAACCAGGACAGTAATGTCGTTGAGACTGGTCATTGCACCCAAGCTGATACGGAGGGCGCCGGTCGGTCGACCTACTAGCACATCATGGTCATCACCGCAACAACCAGGGGTTGCTGCATAAAATCGCTGACGGCCAGTACGGGTGCACATTAAAGACGACGCTGTTCCATTCAGGTTGCAGGCTGAGTCCACATACAGCTGAATATCCCTTGTCGCTGCCAGTTCTTTGACATCCGCGCTGGGAATCCCGATCCCTCGGCTGTTACTCAACTTCAAAGCAATGACTGGGCCTTGTAATCTTGGATTTCCATATTCAGACCGGTATATTTGACATAGCTTGGTTCCGTTGAAGTGTCGCAATACAGAGAGCCGATCGTAGGCTTCCCCAGCTAGCCACGAGGTATGGGCTGAGATATTGGCCATCGAACCGTATAAACGCTCATGAGTGCCAAAAGCGGTGCCCAGAGCGATGATTTTAGAATGAGAAAGCGTCCCGTCTTCAAAACGCTCTCGAATTGAGGCTGTTCTTTTCGCGTACCATTTGTCGCCAGAAGCTTTCACCATGTTGATCGAACCATAGCCGAACGCCTTACGTCCATCCAGGGCATACACAGTATCTTTTCGAACAAGCAATGCACCCAAATCAGGAAATCCAAATATTTTGGCGAGACTGAGAGCCACAAAATCGGGGGCTGTTTTGCTCACATCAAGAGGAGCTGTGGATACAAAGCATTCAGCATCCAGTAGGCTGAATACGTTCCTTGCTCCTTTGCCACCTGTGTTACGGATTGCATCACACCAATGAAGCGGAAGACGACGGCCAGTCAGATCAGACTGTGCTGGAAATGCAAAAAGCCTGGGCCTGCTAGACGATGCGGTACAACTTTCCACGATCCAATTTGCCACATCTCCATCAACAAGGCAGCAATAACCCGCCGTGGCAAGTTTTCGTAGGCCTACAAGCCTGGTATGGGAGTCAATGTGATATCCATACTGAAATCCATAGGACCAAACGTCTCGAAAGAATTCGGCGACTAGCTTGACGGCGCTGGTGGCGTTTGCGACAAATACAAGGTCATAATTATCGGGATCAGCATTGAAAAACGCGAGCGCACGGAGTCGAATATCGTCTATTAGAATCTTGGACCGCTTGGCAGAAGGAGACGTGAAATGCGGGTGGCCATATAATTTAGGCATGCTGTCGTGAGTGTTTGTAACCATAGAAGCGGCATGGGGTGTTGTTCCAGCATGATCAAGATAAACGCTTCCTGTACCGTAGCAGACCCATTGTCAGTTAGGACAGAATTTTAGGGGAATGATGATACGCACTTTGCATGTCGGGGAATTCTCTCTCACGAAGGCCCTCAATATTGCGGCAGTAATTATCCACACATCCGCACCCTGTAGGATTTTCGACGGAGTTGGTCTTCATCGGCATGTCTGTATAAATGTGGAATTGTGTGGAATCTTTTGCAGGGTTCACTGTTGTTCTGAGACAGGGTGGGCTTTTGACTGGGTTGAACTACAGTTTGCGAGCACAGCACAACAAATCGCTCCTTAAGTAGTCCCGGGGGATATATCATTGAGCACATCCGAGCGAGACACGTGTAACTTTCCTGACCTGATGCGACCTTCTGGCTTTAGCCAGAAACCTGACATTCTCGCTGCTGGCCGCTGCCTGGCTGAAAGCTTCAACGCATGCACTTCACTTGATAAACCGATAGAAAGACAACTAAACAAACTTCCCAATTGTTCTCAATCAAATTCTGCTATATTTGAGAATACCCCCATAAAAGTGTAGCACGAAACGATAATTTTCTTCAGATCAGCCTATGGTAACATCCGTGAAAACGTTCTACGGTCTATGCACGGTTTCGAAATTGTCACTATCTAACAAGCAACCGATGTCTTAAATGTCAGAATGCCTCGTGAGTATAAATTCCATTCCTTCCTCTATAATTGAGCCGATTTTTCGGCCATGCCAACTCCTTTGATGGCATAGCGTTTACCATCTCCGGAAATGAACGACATCTGCTCCCATTGGTGTGGCTCTGGTAGAGCTGACCACCCATCCATCACCAGCTGCACAGCCGTGTTTGTATGTAGAGACTTGCTTTCGAGCTTATCTTTGGTCGCCCACCAGAAGGCTTGATACTCCATAGGGCTCAGTTTAATATCCTTCAAGCCGTCGTTGCCAACAACCAGGCTGCAGATGAATATCATTTTCAGGTCGTGGTTCATCCAAAGCATCTATGCACCGGGAAACATGTACCGGCCGACATAAGAGTCGAAACTCTCGACCTCGAGACCAGTTTCCTCTCGTACTTCGCGCTGCAATGCATTGACCAGTATACCCCGCCAGCTGGTAACTCCCACTTTCCTCTTAGTCCTGGCCAACGCTTAATCTGCGATAGGAGGATTTACGATTCGGATCCAAAGATCCGGACAATAGCAAGCGATGGCGTCATGCGCTGCGGACTTGTCGCGTTGGCGAAGATGTGGAGGAAGGTTGAGAGCGATACATTATTCTCTTGAAGATGTTCAAGAACCAGGCACGTTGAATACTGGACCCGAAGATGATGAAAGTGGTAACCGTAAGTATACATTGCAGTAAGTGCGAGGCACTTGAGGTTATCCCCAGCTCCACCGAGCCATGCCTTAGAAAAAATCCGAAGAATAGATTGCCATAACAAACTTTGCTAAAAGAACAGGAATAAAGTTCATGACGGATATAGTGTCCGGGATATAGGGAGAGAAGAGGTTGGAATACGAAATAGGGAGGGTGATTCGAAGGGAACCAATTGTTTTGTGAGAGACACGGGGTCTCGGGGCATGGTTGAAAGCAAGGGCTGTGTACCGCAGGCATTCGTAACATGATGTGGTTGCAGGTGACCCACTCTCGTGGCTTGGAAGCTGTTCAAGGGCAGTCGGCCGTTCCATTCTATTTCCTGCACAAAGTACCGATTCAGAAGACAGGGCGGCTTTGGTGGGCAGCATAGAAAGGTCAGACTATCATGCATTGCCATCGTCAATCAATCTCGGTGGCCCAACCTCTTATGAAAGGAAAATACAAGGTGACCACCATATAAGCCGAAACGGGTGGCGTCATTCCCAATCAGAAAGACGAGGGCGAACATTTGTTGAAGGATGACTGCTATCGACTTCCAGTTCTTGGATCTGGAGACGACGAATAACCGAACCATCATGATGCTATTCAATTTGATTTATGTCCAATTGATTACCAACGTCATGATCATTCAAGAGTGGCTGCTCGATTTGTGATCTTATTATGTCGTCCCTAATTACGCGTCACTCAATGAGGTGGGAGACTAGTGAATGCACTTCGTTCTATTATGGCCCCCACTCTCGCTTGTGGTAGCTTTATATACCGCAGCTTCCACCACCAATCTGGTTTCATGCAGCTCAATTCATTCGTTCAGACAGTCCTGCCAATTGGAAGATCGTACTCCGCGTATAAGTCAGATACTGAAGTCTTGTCCTTTCTCCTTGTGTCCCCGCTGACTAAGTCTCTATAGGCATGAACTCCATCCAGGGGTCCCTCATGCACCGCAAAGGCCTCATGCACCGCAAAGGCAAAATTAGTGCAACATTTTCCATCGAGGGCTACTGTTACTCTTTTAAGGGTAGCATATCAGAGGAATTACCTGACTTCGACCAGGAAGTTGAGCTTTCCTACAATGATGACAAGCATCTGAAGGGCAGAGGGGAAATTTTGGGAAAGATTGACGCCAAAGCCGTTTCCATCACCCTCCCCAACAAAGTCGTTATATGGGGAGATCCTCCGATCGCTGTTGATGGGGATTTTGAGATTTCTGGGACAGGTTCATGGCTCGAATTTTAGCGCCATGCGGGAATCGCCTTTTTGAAGTGCGCTCTTTGCCATCAAAGATTGCCTTTTTGTATTGGCTTTACGCAATAAATTACTCTCTATTGTTTGCTGAGCCTCTACCCATTGTTCCCGTCATACCCTATAGACCGTTGAGGTGTCTTATTCAAAATGACACCACTCTTTGAGAGCTTCACTGGTAGGGTCAATAAATTCAGTGTGAAACATTTTCCAAGCCTCGCGTGCCCACAGAGATTGATATACAATTAAGCATGTGATATGGAAGGTGAAGAGGTGTCAAGTGATCTGTCGGACTTGCAAGATGTATGGATGACCATATGACTAGTAATCTAAATCAACCATCTAGTTCTGAACCACATATACAACCGAAACTGCCTGAAAAGGTTCTCGCGATTAGAAACACGTCAAATATGCAAGCATTTGTTACACATTGACGACTGCATTGCATACGGCATTAGCACAGCATGACTATCACTAAAGTCTCGCCGTTTAATCGAGCCTGAACCCATGCAATTGCGGCACAATGTGTGAAACTTAGTTGTCATTAGGACCGCAACGCTGGTGTTAGAGTATTATATTGCGCTTGATGATCCATTCGTCGCCACCTTACGACGTCTTGACTGCTGATGATCCTGGCTGTAAAGGCTTTTTCTGGAACACGTATTCAAATTGAGGCTCTGTTTTGTCCAAGTCGGTTCGATAGTAGAAACTTGTATCTCAGAGCAGCTCACTGACCGATCTAATTCCAACGCTATGAATTGTACGCTAGTACACCCTAGCACCGTATACTGTATGGTGACCATGGGCCGATAATGCTTGAAAATGATGTGTCTAGGGCGCATGTGGCGTGATTCCGGATGATGGGACACATTGTCTGATATGGAGATAGAACACTTGTGGGTACATTGGCAAACATCCTATTTGAACATGTTGCGTAATTGTTTGGCAACAAGGAAGTATAAAAGCACGCTCAGTAGCCCATTTCCACGGACACTGGACATTCATATTACTCTGATCATCCTACAACATGAGCGATAACTTGGCTTTAAAGCATGCTTTTGACATTGAAGTTCGTGCAAATATGATGCCATTAAAGGAGCGGCTGCTGATTCGTTAATGATGGTGCAGGTGCAGGTGGACAAGTACTCTGAGGGAGAAACAGACCTAGATCAGCAAACGAAAAATCTGAATTTTGTGAGTGCTTGTCAATCCTAACAATTACAATACAATGCCACGTCTAACGACCGATCGGTAAGACAATCGTCGGGGGAAGCATCACCCCGGAAGAGACGTTCACGCCGCGCATTAAATCGACCTCAATCACAGGGATTGACGAGGCTACGTTGAGTTACAAGGAGAAGATCTTGCACTTAAAGGTCACTGCTGAAGCACTGTAAGTCAGAGATGGGACGGTTGCTGGTTTCAATTTGTCCAAGCAATACTGATGTTTCAAATCTAGCATTGATCATGAGATGGCGTCTGGTCATGAGACAGGATTTAGGTCTAAGGTACGGCGCAAAAGGGTTCAAGACACGAAAGTGGTCCTACTGCTAAGATATTCCCTAGGTGCAACTCACGTGGTATGGCGATGTGAAGCTCGGGAAGGATGAGGACAGCATTCTTTATGGAAACTTCACGGGTGAAACGCAATTGGGAAATCCAAGTAAGTTTGCTCCAATTGTATTAAAAATACCCCAAGAATCTAATGAGAGAATACCTGTCTAGTTGCGTGTTTTCGCCTCGATGTAAGTCTCTGAAGGGGGCAGTGTTTACTAAAGAGTACAGCACTAACCTTGAGTAGGGTAAAAGCGAAGAATTTGCTGGACTTAAAAACCGGACTTTTATTGGTCAAGGCAAATTTAAATGCAATGGGAACGGGCTGCGCATATTCTACCATGTGAGCGAAGTCACTCAGAAGGGCGGCCGTACGGAATTGGAAATCATGGAATGCTTGAGAAATGAGGAATTTAGATTTCCACTCATTCAATAACCAAGAGTTGAAACGGCGGAGACAGAGCCATCTATTATGAGATAAATTTTTTGACAATATTCGAAATTGATGACTCCATTTCCAATACAGTAGCTACAAGAGTAACTGAACTCGTTTTGTTATGCCCCTTGTAGAGATCGTTTCCAATCGGTTCTACATGGTCAATCCTGATTGACTTACAACCAAATACATTATCTCCGACCCATTTAGGGGCCAGGCCGGACGCCACTCTTTTCAAAACGATGCGCTCACGCTTTTGCGTAGTACATAACATACTCCAACCTGAAACATCGAGTTCTCTGTAACCTGTGGTTCACTAATGCTTGCACCATGATCGTTGCCCCATAGTTTGAGATCCCGTTTTCTCCTTGAGAGAGGAAATACTGATCACAACTCAGGCCGTACGCGCCGTTTGCTTCATCATCTTGTTCGGAAGTTCGAAAGCAGTAAATATGGGCAGCGCGCTAGAACAAAGACAACCGTAAAGGGGCTTACAAGTCGAAGCAACAAGACGTACATTGCGGTCTTTAGGGGCAATGGGAAAACTACATACGGATGGCCCTCAATGGCCTAGTAGGTCCCATCATTTGAGGACATATAAGTGGCGCAATGATATCTACCATGAGTTACAGAATATAATGCGAAATTCGGGGCGAAAATGTTCCCTTTGAATAAATCCATCATGAGTACAAGCTGCGTACAATCTGACGCGGAGAAAGACTCAGAGGCGAAACTTGCATATCTTTCGTCGAGCATCTATTCCGTAGCCAAGTCCAGGTGTTGACGCCGGCTTTATTATCGCCGTGGTTTCTAGGAAAGCAATGGATGTGACTGTATTCGTACTACCGATAATTGTGTAGCTTACCCTGCTCTCGTGCAGAATCATGCGGGAACATAGACAAAAAATAACCAGAATGTGTCTGCTTGTCCTGAGGCGAAAATCTAGAGATGAAAAGAATGGTCTGAAGCAGTATCTGGCCGCAAATGGTGGGAGTGGACGGACCGCGTAACACCGGGCCGCTCGCTGTAATAACTCTGGGTCGATTGCCTCGTCGAAGAATCTGGTCGAAGGAGGCTCAACACATTGCCGCGTATCAGATATTGCTAATCATCTGAGGGAATAGTTAACTGGGCTGAACCGATGTACTGTGATGAATTCACAGTCGGTAGTACGACTGGGAGCTCATCTCAGGGCCAAATTCAAGTTTTGGGCTCATTCTCGATGCTAGCAGCACCTTTGCGGCCTCTACTCTGACCTCGCCAGTTTCGATCCGACCAAATCGGTAGCCCCCACTCTCTCCAACAATCGAAGCCTCGGTTGTGAAAGCAACAGCAACAGTCTACCCCAACGCCATCTTAAATTGCCTCAGCGATGCTACGGCGAATGCCAGAGATTACCGCGAGAAACTCGAGGCCGAGGATGGTATCTCTGCAGAACAGCTTCGAGACTGAAACGCCGGGCTGGAAAAATCCTTTAGCAATCTTTGGTGCGGCTACAGTTTCTTTTCGAAGGGAGCTCTTTGGATAAACAATAATGGTGTGCGCGAAGAAAGCAAGCTGGAAAGAGATTTTTCCGTCGATTGTGAAGATTCTCTCTCCCTCTTTTTTAACCATATCGCGCTCAGTAGTCCTAGCTCGTAACAGGCACCACAAGTGTCTGACAATTTGACTTCTGATTTGTGACCAAGCCCAGTATGCAATATTAACACTCCTCTCCATCAGTCCAACCCAGTGTAACCCGTTATTTGCATTGAGTAATTTTGCCTTGCCTGATGGCACGGCTAAGTTCAATTGAAGATTTCTTGTTCTCTCTATGCTGGGCTCTCACTATACCGAGATGCTCCAGAATACTCCGTTGCTTCAGTAATCCCAGAAAGTCCCTGAAAAGAAATTGTCAAATCCTTCATCAACCATCGCTCTTGAAATATTTGCGTTGTACCTTTTAGTCTTTGTGGAATTCGCGACGGATGTGTATTTGAGATCTTCGTCTGAAACCCGCGAGTTGACGGCACATCGTGTGGTACTGAGTCCAAGCCACTGCGACCCTGCAGGGTCGGGCTGAAATGACCATAATCTTGGTCAGTTCTGAATACTGGCCAAATATGATCGTGATACAACAGGAGACTCTGTACTCACAATGAGTCTGATCGTTGATGATGGGTGTTGGGAATGGTCCATTGTGACTTCATGCGACCCGCGTGCCCATGGGAAGAGATAGGAAGGATGTAAACTTAGAGCGCGTCAGGCCGATTTATATCTGCTGCAGATTCATCCATGTAACTGAAATCTCATCATCAACTTGACATTATTGCCAAATGATTCAACCTTGGGTTCTTCCGGGGATTAAGAGTGAAAAGCGCCGTTGTTTTCACTATAGCTAGTTTCCCTTTACTCGTCGTTACTGGAAGTATAGTTATACTGTCCAGAGGATTCCAGAACAATAGTGCCCATGGAGAACCTAAGACATACTGGTGACTGAGATGGCCTTTCACTAAACAGCCAGATTACCTGTAGGATTTATACATTCTGTAAATAGATGTGGTCACCACGTTGCGTACCTCAGAGCGACGTTCTTATTGTTGAGTTCCATGGATATTCTTACCAGAATGAGGTATTGTCCCTGATAATTTTGACTAAACCAACAGTTCAATTGTTCTCCCATCCAACATTCAAAATATATTTGACCAATGAAGTGATATATGAGGATTCTAGTCTTTTGTCTCAGCACTAATTGATCGTGAAACCAAAATTTGCCGTCAAAGGCCACCCTGTATCGTTATCCAGTTTTTCCAGGGTGTTCTGAAAAGAATAAATCATTTTGCTGAAGCTTTGCCCGTTGAACACCCCATGGAGTCGAGCCTTCATTGTCTAAAAAGGATTGGAAAATTTGATCATGTACAGCATTTATTGATCTATCACGTTTGGTCTCTCCAAACAAGCTAAAGAATACTGATCAAGGAGAAATGGCTTGGTAGACTTCGACTTTTTGGACAAAGACTCATTGTCAAAAGGTTTAGTGGATCACCTAGGCCTCTTGACCAGCCGAAAACTCCTGTGAAAGCCCTTTAATGGCCGCTCCAGCCCAGGTACGCATGAGGTTTGAGAATTCGCCCATGTCTATGGCAGCCGCTGATGGAGGTATCTTCCAAAAGGAGCTCCAGTCTACTGATAATATAGCAAGTACCAGTATGCAGACGGATCCAATACGGGTTGCCCATGAGAGTGGCTCAGAGAAATAGAATTTATCACGCTTCTGAAGCTGCCCATCCCCCGTGGGTATCTTTGATCCGAAGGTGTTCTGAAGAGGCAGTTCCCATTTTCCTTCACTAGCGGAGTTGTCTTTCATAGACGCTAATTCTCGGGATCTTTTGTCCTTCAAAATCGTCAAAAGCGCCTGAATATTTCTAGCAACGGCCTGAAGATTCACAATAGCTTTGTCAAGATCGTCGGTAAAGCACTGTCCATGCCCTTTCTTTCTTCGTAAATCTGACTGGGGGATTTGAGATGGCACCGATGGTGCAATATTTGACTCTACGCCTGAGCCGTTGCTACTGCGGGTAATTGCCATTGCGAAACGATTGCTGTAAAGCCTCTGGTTGTCTTCTTTGCTGTCTTCTGAGGATAATTGCCATTTTATGGGGTGGCTCTCGAATGGCAATTTGGAAGAAAGTGGGAAATTTTAGGACCCATTCGAAGCTAAATCTGGACCTGTTCCTTTTTGACGCCCACTGCATAGTGAAGGCAGCCAGGCACCCTGCTTATTCAATCTAGGCGAAAAAAAGAAGTTCATTTCGATTCTTTCACTCTCAGTCAAACAACTCCGATCGAAGGGCGAGTCCAATCAAGTATTTTTACAAGATGAGCCTTATTGTTCCACAACTTCCTATTTTAGTGGAAAGCAGGCTCAGCCTTCCCTTTCCTCTCTCCTTGGATATCATCTATTTTCAATGTCACTAAAGTCATAAACTGTAATTGAGAATAGAGGATTACGTTGCGGGGATAAGCTTGTTCACACGCGGCCAGGATCCGATTGAATAGCATCGTCTGAATAACGATGGATTTCGCTGATCAGCAGCACCAGAAAGCGTAAATCGTGTATAATTGACATAGAGTAGCCGTTACAGATACTTTTTTTACTGAGCTATTCTGGTTTATATTTGAATCACTGTTGGCTAAGCAAATTCCCCCCCCAAATACTGAGAGCACTCACACCGTGCCTGCCATCCTTGCTTGTGACTTGTATGCAGCAGCCTTTCTCTTCAACGGTGTTAGGATAAAGCACAGCATATTTCCGTCTAAAGCGAATGCGCTATTTACGCAAATGCTAGGTGCTGTAGTTTCGTACTATTTGTTCCCGGCTGGTACACATCTGTCAAAGACGAATTAAAAATGATGAAATATTTTGGCAATCAAACGTCGGAGGGATGGAGACCCTATTCTCCGTCACAGGGACCTGTTAGTTCACTTCTTCAGCGACGATGATGCAATAGTCCGCTGAAAAGCAGTCCCTGGCTGTATTTAAACCGAGCAGGAACCGTAGATTCTGTCTAAAGACTTATCAACTTCCCATGAAGGAATTTGAACCACTCTTTTTTCATCTGCAACCCACATCCTTCGATCAAAATGACTCAGAAATTTCCTCCGGCTATGCCAACATCCAGAAGGATCACGGTAACAGGGTATGCATGTATGAACTCGATTTATTTTCTGCAGAGTCTGACCTAACGGTAGGACCGCCGAAGAAATCCGACCTGTAGTTCAGGGCCGGTCTACGCAGGTTCCAAATGCCGAGTCAAATCTTATGCCGTATAGGCCAACAAATACTCCAGAAAGATCTTTGCCGGCCCTGCGAGACATACTTCGAGACATACTGGGGGACTGGATACCCACAAAAAGCCAGACGAATGGGGCCTGGATACGAGGCCGTTTAGCGCAGCCTCCCAATCCACGATGGAGGTACCAATGAATAGCCGGGAGTCAATTTTGGGAAGCAAGGCCGCGTCGACCGCAAACTACCTCTCGTGGGCAAGTTATAGCGGATAGTCTAATCCTCACTCATGGGAATGGGGAACTATGAACAGGGTGGTCATGATTTCCTCTGGGGGATAGGTGTGAAGAATGCTTAGGAAAAAGGGTTTTGCATTTGAAGCTACTTTCACGTGGTTATCAGTCGAAGTGATTCTAGATATGCGAAAACATAGCAAGGCCAATTTGGAGCCTGTCATCAGCGCAATTAGAACCGAACAGATATAAGTATTTTCCGGCACAATGTGCCATATAAAGGTCTCTGGAAACCTGCGTCCACCGTATTTCACGAGCCACGTAAGAGGTCAAAATATACGTGTATAATACTAGTCGGGCGGACACACTCTGATCCACCGAATTCAAATATGGCTTCTCGGCTCGGAACTGTTAATGGAAATCGCACTTGAATATGATGGTATCTAAAATTGCTGCATAGTATATCGAGTGCTATTACAGAGAAGAGAGAAGGGGGGCCGAGTAGTCAGACGCGAAGTATAAGAAGTTGGAAGAAAAGCAGGGGCTTTGTTTTACTGCCTTCTCCGTAAACAAAATAATCTTGATATGGATTCAAATAAGAGATCTCATTCACCCGAATCCTCAGTTTGTCACAAAAAGGTCCGACTCTCGGAAACTACGTCAAATCCTAACCTGAACGTTCAACCAGCTCACCAGGATCCAGACATCGTCAACATTCCAGGCGAAACAGTGTGCACGTCATCAATCCAACAACAAAGCAGTCAGAGCAGTGCGGCGACTTGCTCCTTCAAATTGTGTTCTAGCAGTGATAATTCCAGTCTCCACACTTTTCACGGTTTAAAGAACTACAATTTGGAAGATATATATGACCAATATACTTCCCTACAACCAGATAATTGCCGGGGGCCTCACTTGTGTACTGATGGTGAGGAAGGCAGGGATGATAGTCGCAGTGAATGCTATATGCCGGGAAGCAAAATCTACGACGGCACCCAGGCTTCCCGACCACGGCGGTCCCTTCAGGATGGGAAACTGGCACTTGGAGTGAAACTGAACATATTTACGAATGCAAGTTGTCTAGTGAAACTAAATGGCCGGGCACCAGTGGCTTCTCGGGTGCCAGAGATGCTATGTCTTTTGTACACATTGCGTGAAATTGCACTCAGAGTTCAAGATGAACTAGACATTGAAAGATACCTAAATATTGCTGAAAACCTTGAGCTACTCATAGCACATATACGGGAGATATCGACTGCAAGGACACCGCCCGCGTTTGGTGAAAACAGCTGCTTTTCAAATGACTGTCTTCTATTTTGGTATTTTTGTCAGACAACCTATCGGAAAAACAAGAATGCATATGGCTTACTGAGCTTCTATCAGAGCCTCTATCAATATCTTGAAGAATATACCAAGACTCTCAAACCGGGTACTTATTCTCAGGCAAAGGAGGGTGCCAAACACCTGTACGATGAGTTGTCTATACTCATAGATGAGCCAAGTCTTTCAACTTCTCAATAGCTGTTGACTGCTGTTATGTTTCAAATGGCAAACTGACTTTACACCGATATTAGTTGCAATTGCAGATCAGATTTACGGTATATATAGCCGTAGGGCCAGTTACACCGTTTGCTTCGCACGCGAACTGCCCCATAACGTAATCTGTGCTGCACGGTATTCACATAGGCTGCACGGCTTGACCCTATGCAGCTCCATTTTGGGAGTGGAAACATACGGATTCGTTTTTTGTCACCTCCTCCACGGGGTTAAACCGGTCGGACGAATATCTTCATTTTCGGATAGGCAACGCAACTCCAAATTAGGCCGGATGGGACATTCTGCCTGCCCTAAGTTCTTTGATCGTGATGTCTTAGTCGCAGACAGATCTAGCGCCATTGAAAGGGGCGAAGTGTTATCTGAGTTAGTGCGGGAAGAATTTTCAGCAGCTTTCTCATTTGGAGAATGGGAATCTGAATAGCTAGTCCAAGAGATTGGAGAAGACGTTTCAGATGGCCAGGAAAGATGATCGTCGTCCCGAGCCCGAGAGAAATAGGGGTTAACCTCTTCTGAACTTATCATGGGGGATGTCCCACACCGTTGGGACAAGCCATTGTGATTACCACTACCAGAGTATCTCTCAATACAGTTTGACCCGCAGAGAGTCGTTATATCTTCCTCATTCGTTGATAGAGCAACAGGCTGGTCCGAGAAAAACTTCTAAGTGTTGCTGACCTAGTATCAATAGAGTGGTCCATTTTAGACGTTTTCAGCCACAGAGTGTCAAATTTTGCGTGCCATATTTGGCCAATGTTTGAATGGGTGGGAACAAGGGTCTGAATATCGAATTTTGAGGGGCTCAACTATTCACTCAGTTTCCTCCTTGGAGGCGAAGAGCCATATTCACTTCACAAGGAACATATATGTGATGTAACTAGATATAAGGCGGCGTGCCGAAAGTAGAAAATATAACTACTAAGGTTGCTGAATGTGGGATTGCACGTGATAAGACGTCCTGCATATATAGTTTACCATAAGGTGAAAAGCATTTTGTCAAATTTTAATTCCTTCTTGCGGATGCATAATTACGACCTTGATCTAAATTTGCAGCTACCGGGCGGAGGTGAAGAGAATAAGTGGCTAGATAAGCATGGACAATATATTGTATGTGCTTTGTTCTGTGCTGCATTCCTGCCTGTTATGTTTCCTCTTCTGAGAGAATTTGACAGGTCTCTTGTGCCTCGGGCTTTTGTTGCAATCTCCCTGTTCACGGCAACACTGCCTACGGTCGTACTTTGTGCTCAGCGCATTCAAGAACACAGCGGTATGAGTGCACAGATGCTGCGTCAAGTGTGTTTTTCATTCCTTGTCTTGGCAACTGTAGAACTTTTTGTTGGAATGCTGTGCTCATACTATGTGGCTCCTCCAGGCGACCCACAGACAGGGGTCATTTACATTTTATGTGGATGTTACGTATTTTCGAGTGTTATCTATTTCTTGATCTCGCTAGAAGACTGAAAGTTATGAAAAATACGTTCCCGCGTAGATCCTAGCCCTTCTTTACTTGTCATTTGCGGTGCGTAAGGCTCGTCGGTGACGACGATGCTCTCAAAACATGCTTGATGTAGGATATTTGTCGTAGGTTCAGCTTCTGTGCTTATATCGGACAAATTCGCACGTTGAAAGGCTCTTCCATAATTAAAACATATAGAAGTGATCCGCTACAGTGGTATATCCAACGCTGTGGTTGTATAGTAGACTTCAAGAATTGCATTGTGCTACATAAGGACAGCGTTTTTGGTCGAGCCTGTGACACGTCTACCTCCGCTTGCCATGGTTCCCCTTACAGAGCGCTCCCTTCCTATTTTGATCCTAAGATATGTCAACAGAGTGACAAGCCTATCACGAGAGTTGAAAAGATCCATACGGTGATGGCCACTTATAATAGCCTAACTAGAGCATCCAGTATGGGATGACAGCGCAGCGACTGATACTCTTTGGATGCTAGACAATGAAATGTCGTGAGCCTATACCTGTCAGTGATGCGTCAAGTTCATTTACCGGCCACTGCGCCTTGTCGCATCACAGTAAATATCAGGCGGAGCAAAAATGCCCCCACGAGGCCGACGCATATTTGGTATACTTGGTACAGTATACTATTGCCATTGAATTGTTAAAAAATTCCGTAACGTGGATATCGCCGTCGTCAATTAGGGTAGCAATTGTATTAGATCAAAGGATTTTAGCCAGAGAAAGGGCAAGTCCAATGTATTTGTGTGTTGGAAGGTTCTCCACGTTCATTCGAGCTTGCTTGGTAGTGGTTGCACTGTGAAACGTGCTGGTAAGAATAACCTAATGTATCTGTTACAATGATATCTTGGACAAATAGTCTCGAGGTTTCAATGAATGCGATTTTATAACCTGATTTTGGTAAAGTAAGTTAACCCAGTAAATGCGATACTGAATACGGGATAATAGGTATTGGAAGCAGCGCTCCTGTGGCCCCACCACAATAATAAGATGTTTCGCTCAGCAGCATCCGAAAATGGAAATCTGCTGTTAGGACACAAGAAAGATCATCAACTCGCGGCTAGGCTTTGTCTCAATACTCGAGATCATATATGGAAATATTTGAACAACTTTGATGAGACTGTCCAGGCGACAGGACATCCAAATCTAGGCAGGGCGTCAGTGAGCCATCAGCATATCCACGACACAGTAATTTCTCATCTCATCCCGGCCATTGCAATTATAGGAGCTACATGCGTGTGGAGCTTTCAACCTCCAGCCCGGCAAAACGATCCCTCCCAAACAAAAGCTTTCCATTTTTGACTAACAAAAGTGGGCATTGCATTTGATATAGATCCAATATCCTGAGCTGAGTGGGTGGGTAGGGTCAATCCTACATCCTGCGAATTCATTATGAGAACATCAATACAAGAAATGGAGGCACAAATCCAGCATCTACGTGCTCAGATATATATCATGCACAACACAGCTGCACTGTTGAATTCTCAAGTTGAGCACCTGAAAGGCATAGAAAGATTTTGGGTTAGAATGCGGGATCTCTCCTCTCGTATCAGCAGAACAAAGTATGTTCACGCGGGAACAAAGTGATGAGTCAACCGATGGTACAAGGACGCCTCTAATTGACTTAAATTGGATTAAAAACTTTGCGCTCTGTCGATTACAGCTGACTTCAGAATAACGCACAACGGTAGGCCCCAATCGAAAATACCTGTTGTCGATGGGACACTGACGAGCCTTGTAATATGGGAGATTCATGAGCCGTGATTCGACGAGAATGTGCTTTTGTGTTTTCTCGGACAATTCGTATTGAGATATAAAAGGCTAGAAAAATGGGGACGGATCGCGTTTGACGATCTTGATTACAACCTCCATACGTTCAATTAATTTAAAGGGAGTAGCGAGCGACAGAGACAATCAGATTTGATGTAAAGATAAACGGGAATGTCGCAAGTTAGACTGAAATTCGGTTGTTCATTTGCAACCTCGGTCGAGATCCAGGCTTACGCAGTTTAACCTACCATACGAACTCTTACCTGGTACTGCTCATTATTTCCTATGTGCTAGAGATATAAATTGAATTCATATCTTTATCGCTCTAACGTGCGATGCCATGTCAGTAAGGATTGGTATCGCCGTGGACTGCATTAAGGGAACAAATTAACAGCGAGAAATTCATGGAGCAAGGATGGGGGCATTGGAGGTTCTTTAAAAATAAATGGGCCGTTGGTATTAGTTACAAAGCTTAGAAAGCACGGAATGGATTAACTACTGCTGGCAGAACCTGTTGCCAATCCTACCTTGAGAGCTCATGCCGGACAAGCTGCGCTATTCGCATGCAGTACAAGCCGGGAAATTAACAGTCATGAATCCACAATTTGTAATTTGCAACTCAGGAGATACGGAGATTTGTGTCCATAATAGAATTTGAACGGACGAGGATCGTTCAACCCAGGATTACATTCCCAATCCAGCGCATCCTAACACCAAATATTTAAAAATCAATGCCGTCCTCAACCCCGCCCGAGAATGGCCCCAGAAACCCACCACGGACCTTGAATGGCCTTCTGGCATGCACAAGCGGCCATATCGTGTTCATACATTCCATGAAACCCAGCAAGCTGCTGAAGGAGTCTTATCATTTCCTGCCGCTGTGGATCAGCGGAAGACGCGCCGCTCGCTACGTGATATTTCGTCCTCGGCGTATCGAAAGTACTTGGACGAGGAAGTTATGTTCATCACGTATTACCGGCAATATCTCTCCCTTGACTGGGATGAGGTGCTACATTGTTTTAATCAACGATTTTCAAGTCGACGTCGACCAGGTTTGAAAGAAATTCAGTGTGTTTTTTATCGTTACCAAAAGCGACAGATTAAGCACCATCCTTGATCCAGAACACACAATTGTGTGCTGGGAAAAGAGGGGCGCTCTGATACCCGGAAAATCAGGTTATGGCCCCCCAAATTCACGTAGCCCACTCAAGCAACCAAGTTGCCGTTTTGCTCATTTTATGTATCGACCAGAGTGTGACGTAATCGAGAGTCTGTTACTCTGTGACGCGATGCTGCAAATGGTGCCTTAGTGTTGGAAAAAAACAATAGATATTCTCCCGATGTTAACTGGTGGTCATATCACTTTTCACAACATAGGAAACGATCTATCTGTGGTCTCTGTTTCTGCGTTTCATCTGCGTGGTAGTGTAAATTCCATCCCGGATTCTCTAGGCAGGCTTAGCAAGATGATTCCTTTCCTTTCTTACTCAGGCATCTCCAATCTTTTCAATGATGAATTTGGTGGATTTGAAGGTCAACATTGTCTCTCATGGTTCAATATCGCGTCATAATATGATAGTCGCTACGTTGCTTTTGAGCAGCAGCCTAATATCTCCAACTTCAAGTCGGGGGTTAGGTTGGGCCATCTTTGAGCCACATCGTAAGGATCGTTGTAAGGACAACGCAACCCAATCATCCCCTCAAAACGTTACTGAATATGGGGGGATAATGCGGGTATTAGGTAGTGAATTGCTCGATCACGCCCGTTGACGTTATTCTTTGTCAAACGATCGACCCAGAACACATGGCAAGTGCGATGGATCTACAACATGATACCTTACGGACCATTCCCATTAAGCGCAAGTGTCATGAAACTATGTGACTGTGTTGGTCTAATTTCAGTATTTACAGAGAGATACGCATGTAAATTCCGCTTTTGGCAGTAAGGCGTTGACTAAATAGGGGGTGAACAGTTCTACAAGAAGGGTATGCAAATGGACATCTGAATATGTGCAGTTGAGCTTCATCTATCGCTGGGATTGAAGCCTTCTAGCAGCCCTAAGAGATAATGATCTTGTACTAGCATTTTCTCAATCTTGACGCGGTAGAATTTAGTATCAGCGCCTGGTCTTGTTATGACATGCGAACTTGGCCCTGATCCAGCTTGTTTATCGGGCCCACTTTCGGTTGCTGAGACCAAAAATCCAACATCAAAATTAGGACCTGCCCAAACGATTTTGGTGAACAGCGTTTGTGATGATGTCTCACTGCCATGTTCGTCAGGAGCCCCGTTCTCTGTGAACCACTTTTTCCAAAGACGAATCAGTCGCATTCGGCCCCCGCAAAGATTCCCAACTGAAATCAACGAATCAGGTCTGCACTTGTAGATGTCAAAGAGGAGCAGGTACAGAAAGTCGAATTCATCAAACCGAATGATCTTACTATAAAGATCATCCCATTTGCCAGTCTTTAGGCTGCGACGGACATCGAGGAAAGTGTAACCTGAAAGAGTATCTGGCACGTCCGGCATGGAACAGAGAGCACTCAGAATTGAGTGTTCAAGTGATATAGGGGCCAAAACAAGTGCCAGGCTCTCGTTCATTTCCATAGTGGCTGGATCCGAAAGTACCATCTTGAGCGTGAACGGAGTGCCCGAGGAAAAATGATATCCAATGCGTCGTCGCACTTGGGAGTGCGCCACTTGTGAGAAGCATAAGGAGACTTTTGAAATTCTAATCAAAGATCTTCGTGCCAGATGGCAAAGAATTAGCTCCCATAACTATAGAAAATAGTGTGAGAAGGATCGCAAACCATCCAGGGGGTGGGGGTGCCAAACTCACCTCAGGTGGAAAAATACCTAAGCACATTATAGACAGGCCTGGTATCAATGCTGCATGGAATGCGACGGCTGTAAGTTTTGCCTTCTTTTTTGTTGGTAACTTGAGTCGACAGAGAATTTGCGATTTCTGCTTGCAGGGCTCGTCCTGACCTATAAATGTTTTGCCGCAGGAATGAGACCATTAAGGCATAGTAAGGCCTTAATGGCAAGTCCCACTCACAGTCATCCGACCAATTTCTCAGAAAGCTGCTGTGAATGATACACTATTGAGTTGCTGTCCTGGAAGAAACCTATTGCAGGGGCGGTTGGTACGAGGAAGACAGGAGCAGATTCGCGTATTGCTTTTTGCAGTCTCTTCATACTAATGAACTTGCTGGATGGTGCAGGGAAGATTTTTTGAATGTTCTTGTGGAGGCATGCCGGTTGTGTCTAAATTCCCTCAACTCGATACCGTGTAATTTTGGGTCCGGTAAATGGCACTACATGAGAGTTTCATGAAACTATGGCAGTTACATAATTACGAGCTGGTGCACAGATTTACTAGCTATAAGACATTTTTCCAGCAATGATCTTCTGCCACCAAGAGGACTCTTCTATATCTTAGGCCGCGTCCCAGGTACATAAAAGCGACATCATCATCCTTAAGGGACCACCGGTAGATCCGTAAAGAAACTTACGCGAGCAAGTGGTCAGGGAAAGAGATAGATAGATCCTTTGAGTGGTTTTTAACCTGTAGTGTCACGAAAAATTCACGTGGTGCCATTGATCGGACCCTTAATTTATGTAAATGTATGGAACCTTGTAGTCCGCGTGAATATGGCTGGCGCTGAATCCTTGGGCAGCAGAAGTTCCTGGTGCTGCTACAGTAGCCCCAGTGGGCTATAAGATACTTGGACGGGTTTTGCGTTGTGTCCGTATTCCTCTTTCTATATCAATTGCTCGCAACTAATCTTTGATGAACAAGATCCACATTCACAAAGGCGAGTGAAAGGCACTTTCGTGGAGATAGTGTATCAACTATGTGACAGCTACGGAGTACTTGGAGATAGGCCAATCAATGCAACGGAATCAAAAGGGGAGAAATTGAGTATATGATTGATTGATTAAGAAACATGAAATGAGGGTGCTCATGGGGGTTCAAATACCCATGAACTTACAGTATAACGGAGGTCCACGGAGGTTGAATATCCTGGTGCCTAATGACAACATAAATGACTGAGATTCGCCATATAAAAGTGTTGCACCATCTAGAAATCAATTGACGTTATGTTCATCCTTGTTTTGGTACGAGTAGCAACCTATTGGGGTTGACATAGTGTGAACTCGACGTAATTGCTGGTCCTGGCGAATGTACGGCAGCATGGTACAGGATGATATTTCCCATTATTGAATGGAAAGCAAAGCCACTTAAGTTGATAAAAAATGCATGCAGTATACATTCGCATCTATACCATCGTCAAGTAGTGTCACATTCAAAGCATTCACTAAAGCATGTTCGTATGAAGAGATGTGGCCATGACTTTTCATTCCTGTCTGCCTTTGGCCTGCTTCAGCTTTAATTTAACTTAAGCTCAACCCCTACCCTCCCGATCTGATATTTTCAATTATTATGACTCTAATCTCTCCTGAATGATTTTGCAGAGTCAGGATGGTGGTACCCTACGGAATGAAAAACTAGGACTTGGGAGTAGCTTTATCAATATCGAATTATTTTTAGTGAGCATGAGTTAATGATCTTTCTAAATCTGACTATTATTTCCTTTTCTGTGGTGCTTATTATTTCAGTTGAACCTCGTCTAGTACCGCAGTGCAGCTTTTCGTGAAACGATCCAGCGTTGTCCTCGGGCAATTCGTTGAAATCATGTTGAGATAGGTAGTGATGGCGATGGTGATATTCATGGGCTAGATTTTCAGTCCTGATTTCTTTCCTTGATATGGTAAGGAACACATGTCTGTGGACTGGGGTGGTGTTTGCACTTTGTCAGATCTGGGCGATAGGTCTGCGAGGACAACAAAGCTGAAAACTCCCGCGCGCAAGTGATATGTCGTTGCCAGTCCTACCTGCAACTTCCGCAGAGCATATTTCGTGTCGCTGAACGCACAACTTGCTCGAGGGAATCGGTTGAGTTCCATCTTTGATTCATTAACACAATGGCAGCGTTCGTCCGAAACGATTTTGGGACACTGTTGTCACATTGCGCCCAAATACATTCAGTGCGGTGTAAAGGATCACCAAAGACCCGGCTGAATGAATATTGAAGGTAATTCAGGTCTCGAGTCATTGTGTTCACGGATAAAGAAACTTTAGGCGAGTAGAGAGGGAATTGATTGGAAATTATCGGTTATTTATTTGACGTGGCAATTAGACCGCCTAACCCGCATTAGAAAGTAAACCAGGTAATCAATCTTGATAAGGTTAGGGCTGCAAATCGTACTTAATTGGTAAGCCCCTGAGTAAGTTGGGCGACAAAATTACCAAGTCGTACAGCCTTTGTCAGGTCAACTGTAGTAAGATCATATACATGTGACACAGATCAATGCAGAACCTGAGCCGATCAACAGCCGATTCTGATGTCTGTTGTAACCCACACAAAGACTGCTATAATCTTTCCAAAATAATTAGCATATCCCTTTCTTTCTGATCAATCAAGCGTTACATCACTGGTGAGACTAAATGTCAATAAGGGACTACGAGAACTCTTAGAGAAAGTCTGCTGGAAATCAATTACTGCATCCAAAATTGAGGTGTTGCTGTAATTTAAGGAGCCGTGGCTATCGTTTTTTTGACCATCTGGGGAATCCTCTCGGTAAGATTCAGTCCCAGCTGTGGAGTGTAAGTGACGCCCGTGGCTATATGTTGATGGTATTCAAGCAACGCTTGAGCTCATGAACGGAGAAATTCGTCATTGAAGCTATCTGAGCCGACACTTTGGGGATGGCTAGTGATTGTCTTCACCGGCTCTGCTGGTCTGACATAGACAGCGTATTGTAAGAATAGTAGTCAACATTATTCCGTGTTCAGCACCCAAGCGACGGAGAATATTCGCGGAGGGTTGTTCATTTCGAAAATCCTACGTGATAAAATTGTCCACATAGTGTCAGAATTGCTTGATATATTGTTATGCAGCTGGTGAAATGAAATATAAACACTTGATTTTACTATTAACCTACCCGACCGGCGTCTTTCTCATCACCGTGTCACCCTGAAGGGAAACCGCCTTCTACTGTATTCCGAAGCTTCCGTTTTCACGATTTGATTAAGAATCTCATTATGCCACGATTGCTGTCCAAAGTTGCCCGAAAAATGGGCCTAGTTGGAGTTCGCATCACGGTGGTGCGCTATTCTCGCGGCAAAGTACGCATTATCCAGTCGGTCTTTCCATCTGATGATTGGGAAGTGAGTGTAAACAAGCCCATAATGGTGAATTTCAGTGGCTGACGTCTTCTCCGGCAGAGTATCATCCCTGACGAAGAACATGTAATTGCGGTGGAGAAGCATCAATGGTGAGGCTGGATTGACTGTGAGATATAAAATATATAAAGGGAGTGGTTTTATTGGGGTTGCCTCACAATGTAGCCCCACGTGATATTTACACCGACATTACGGAGGGCCTCCTCCTCCTACAACTGCCTCACGAGAGTCAGTTGCTTGCCTCTGCGGGTAGCTCGTCATCTTTCACGCAGTCAAGTCTTGATTTTGTCCCTCCCACCTTCCCTCTGTACATAGAATCCACTACAATACAGACACATTGCCTCCCTTCAGCGGAGCGCGGACGGGCCCAATCTGACGCTACGGTCTACGACCGCAGCGACAGGTGACCCGTTATGGCCAAACTACACTCTTCTTGCTCCCCTTGACTGCGTGAGGTCACCAATAAAGGACACTACGTGAACTGCCTCTGTGATATAAAGTTCTAAGGAGGCCCAATCCTCTTCAATATAATGGGCTTGACCACAAGCCCCCAGAATATCCTGACCAGTCTCTTTAATCTTGATACCATCCAGCTCACTTTTTGGACCACTTCCATTTCGGAAGTCACTGAGTAAACAATCGACAGTGGAGGTAGAAATGCTGGTCATTGTCTGAGCCGTCAAACGACCACTATCGACTTCATTTCTAAGTCTCTTGTTCTTCCTCCTACCAGAGACCGGGTAAAATAGCAATGCTTTCAGTTAGGGTTAGCATTACAGCGGTCGACCCCGCAAACCAGTAACGTATATATACCCAAGCGAATGGAGTAACCGTGGTGAAATGTTGCAGAGGTACTTCTTATATCAACAGGAAATATTTGTCACACTCATAATTCACGCCCTTAAAATCATCTGCCATTCATTTTACCATTTGCTTTTCATTATGGCCGGATCAGTTACAAAACCCTCAATAAGTCAGGATGTTACAATCGCGAAGCGTGGACGTTTCTCCTTCATGTTCAAAGCTAAATAGCCATAGCATAATTCCTGGTGAAAAGAAAATACAGCTTACCGTAGTAAGGTTTCTGTAAATCCGCGTCCATTATTTTCACGTTAGTATTCCGTAGAATTTATTTCTCAGGTCCTGTAAGAGGTGATGTATCGAGCGCAACTTGGGTAGGTGGGTAATTAACTATGTTCTGAATACGTCAGCTATGGTATGATACTTCTTATGCTAATAAATTGTATCCTACGGAAAGCAATGTAGAACTATCATCACATTGTTGATATATTATGATCTGAAAATTGGCATTTAGTATGGTGCTTGGGGTGTCCCGCACGGCCGGGTGACCTAACTTCAATTCGAGACGAATAAAATGCCAGTAACAACGCAGCTGACAAGAAAATGGCAGCAAAGTCAGCGTACAGGCTCTGGGCAAAGCCGCCTCAGAACCCCGGGGACATCTAGATCACATAGACCACAACCGAGATATAGCCTCTCAGGGACTATACCTTCCCCCGGGGGCTCCACGATGGACTGTAGAGTCAGTGCAGACCTCCGAGTTTCAATATCTGAGCTCATCTGAGAATTTATTGCGAAGCCTCTAGATGATAATGCTCCTTGGATGACTCCCAATCACGGAAAATCGCATTTCCTCACATTAATATGTGTAACGAAAGTAAGCTATGCTGGAGCCGTGTAGTTGTTCAATAATTCTGTGGTCAAGGAGTTCCGGCCATAAGAAAATAATCTACGCGTTTACAGCAAAATATTAATGCCCATACCACGAAGGACGGACGCAATCTACGTTACAGCGTCGTGGGCAGAATTTCATTCAGTCGACTCCACGTGATATGGAAGTGTCACCAGCCAAAATTTCCTAGTCTTTGTGAGAGTACATAGGCTCGATTTTTCTTCAGGACAGCCCGTGTCTCAAAAGGCGCAATAGGGCTACAGTAGCAATAGAATTTTTCCACCTCTGGCCGAGACCCTGCTATGCCAAACACGTCTTTCCGGGAAATTTGTTGCTCCCTATTAAATGGGTTGCACGTACCTTTGGAGCACAGCGGGAGAAGCATGTAGTCTGTAAATCCTCAGAAACAACACCTAGAAAGCTGGATATTACTGTGTCCATATCAAAAGGCCCGGTCATCTCGCGCGCACCTCATAGGAGTCTGTTAGGGGTTGCAAAGCGGTTCAGTGCTCTGATGTTCAAGTGCGAAGAACGGAATGATCTATGAGACCGAATGTTTTATTGTCATAGGCAGGGGGTGCGCCTTTGCAACTCTATCAATTCTCGGAGCGCCCAGCATTTTTCAGGAGTCTAGCATATCTTTGCTTTTGACTCGATAACACGGTCGACATCCGGACCTGCGGCAGAGTTTCTGGGTACGCGCTCCAATTTCCTGTAAACCGGCAAAATGGAGAGCGGGTCAAGATTATGCAAACATATGCTGGGGACGTAGTGAAGGCATTCAAGGCTCTAATCACTTGAGCCTCCGGAGATATAAGTCGGCCTCAAACTGCTTCTCTGAGATTCTCTTCGTTCGACTCTTGTTGCATCACGGCTCATATCTCACTCGCTGTATAGACCCAGAGGCTGGAAATGCCATCCAGCTTAAAAATGAGAATCAACACGCTGCAGCCCTTACTAAGGAAAAGGACTAACATTAACTATTCATCAATTTGATGATATTCAAGGATCAAAGCGTCGGAACTTTCGGATCCGACCGCGTACCTTTCATATCGTTTTGACAAGGAACGATTCCCTCATCCAAGGCAATCACTTTTGTTTTTATCAGTAATGAGTCCGACAAGGCTGGCATTTGTAGCCTTAAATTAAATCGATCAATGTATCTGTTTCTTCAAGTACCATTTGAAGGGAGATAATGTCAGAATTACGTATTGACTTCATCCTTCTTTCGTCCTGAGCGCTTTCCCTTCGCTGCGTTTGCGTTTGTATCTGGCCCTGATATTCTTCAATCCTTCTAGAAATTCCAACCAAATGATTCTTGCATTTGGTGACCTCTAAGGGCAGCGGCTGTTGTTTTTGCGTACTCCTCTCGGATGGCTAAGTTTCATATTACGGTAGATAGTGTGACGATCGAACCCGATTCCTTCACTTCTAGAGATTCTATATCCCTCTGAATGATAGCTAGCTCGTCACCTCGAATCTAATTTGGCTTCTATGGATTTTTTTTGAAGCTGATCTTGTTTGCAATAGATTTGATCAAAATGTATGGAAGTATCCAGTGATATTTGCGGCGATACACTCAGCATAGAATGGCGAGATACTAACTGCGTGATACTTTCCATAATATTAGGTAAATTATAGGCCACACCTGGAGTGGCCTTGGTTACTGCCCCCGGTGAAACCTTTTGTTCTCGGTTACTGCTGCCATGAAAGCAGCGTAGTTGAGATACCTGAAACGGCCGAAGGCTGGTGAAAACGAACCGGCCCAATCATCAAGCCGGAGGTACATTAGGGGATAGAATTCATTATGAGGATTTCGTGAGAGTATCGCGTCATCCTGAGATGTGAGCTTTCATTCGGGATCGGGGATCCCCGGTGGAAGCAGTTTCCCTAGAGACCCCTCCAAGTATAAAAGCCTGGCTTGATTCTCGCCAGGAGAGCCATCAGAGTATCATCCACGAAACGATTCCGCTTCCAATTAAGCTCACCAAGCACCAAGCCAACAAAGGACAAAGCCAAAATGCCTGTTACCACCCCCCCAGAAAGAATTATTGCTACAACGGCGTGGAGGAGCCCGTCTGTGAGCTACAAACAATAAACTTCAGTCGACTTCTGTCGCAAGAGCAAGTTGAGGTCGAGAAGCTTCTGCAATGTTGTAAAAATGCTGGATTCTTCTATCTTGACCTTGAGGGAAAACGGATATTGGACGACCATCAGGAACTGCTTACTCTCATGCATCGTTTCTTCGGCTCGCCCCTCGAGCAGAAAAACGAGATTCTTAGCGACCCGTCCGTGGAACATGGGTACGACCATCTACTGCCATCATCATACATATAGCTAACCGATTACAAGCTACGAGCCCGTTGGCAATCATGCCGGCGTAGTCAATGGTACAAAAGACGGCTACGAGATTCTTCAAGTGGCTCCCCGCGAGATCGAAAAGCGAAACCCCAAGCTCCACTCGATCCTCGATAACGAAAAGGACATCGCAACGCTCTATAACTTTATTGCCGACTCCAACTTCATTACAAAAACTATACTCTCCTGTCTCTCTACCGCCCTCGGTCGGGAAGGCATGGCCCGCTTCGAGACCACACACTCCAACGAGAAACCATCCAAGTCGGCCCTCGCCATGATGCGCTACCTACCCGGTGATCTGAAATCGAGCAAGAAAATCGGTCATCTGAAGCACACGGATATCGGATCACTCACCCTCCTCTTTTCGGAACAATGGGGCCTTCAAATCCTTCCCCCTCGCTCTGATACCTGGGAGTTTGTCGAGCCCAAGAAGGGCTACGCTGTGGTCAACGTTGGAGACTCATTACATTTTGCTTCCGATCAGGAGGAACTGTTCTCCTGTATTCACCGGGTCGTCCCAGTTGACAATAAATCAGATCGGTACAGTGTCGCCTTCTTCCTCCGCCCAGCCGATGACGCAGAATTTGTGGATCATCTGGGTCGACGGATAACGGCTGGGAAGTGGCACGAGGAGAAGTTCAACGTGTTTGAAGCTGAAGATGCAGAACAGAAGATGAATGCCATTCTGGTCGGGGGGATGAAAGATAGAAGTATGAAAAGGCAATCAGTGCTCTAGATGGGTCTGCTTCAAGACCCTGGAAAGCTTCTAAAGCAAGTATAGACCTCGGACTAATTCCCTGGTCCTACATATCGTTCTTCAATGTATTCTGCTCATCCTTGCTCTTTTTTCTGTAAGAGTCGGCTACGGTCGACAGCAAAGAGCAATTCCCATGGTTGTGAGCATTACCTAGCTGCCGGAGATGGCTAGCCCGCTATTAAGAATCTTACGATTCCCTGGGCTTCCCAACAATATGTAACTTAGCTTATATTTCTTTCCACTGGCATGGATCAGAACCTGCGAACTCAAAAGGATGCAGAGTCTTTTTCTGCGTTGAAACCTCATGCGTTCGAATAATGCGTCGAGACATGTACTCTCAGCTAGACGACATGGTTAGTGTCTTATATCCATTTGTCAGTGCTATATTAACAAGTCCAATCCGAGTAGCCAAATTCTCTGCAGAATTACTTGGACTTTGACAAAGATTCAGATTCTCTATTCAGTAGGACAAGAGAGGCTATGCAATGTAGCTACCGGTGTATATATATGAGTGACTGGCCAGTGAGGGGTGGATCGCCCGTTGAATGATCATACTCATGTGAGTATGGTAGACAACGTGTGGTAATTATAAAGGCGCTGGCTGAGACACACGGTGATTGGGTATTCTAGATCTATGATTGTGGGGATAATTTGTGCTACAAGTGAAACGCGCGGCCATTGGAAAAGGCATCAAAGTCTTTTTCGGTCAACAGAGTACGGAGACTATCGTAGTGGGATTTGAAGGTCTCTGCAGATTCTCATGACAGATTTAAGGGCAAGGATTTGGAAATTGATACTGTGCCTGGATTGGACTATAGCCAAGGGGCGTCGGAGTATCAATCTCTCTCGACGCGACGTATGGGGAGGACCGGACATTTATCTTACTACTCCTGATATAAACGTAATGCCATATTTGCACCTTACAACTTCAGTGCTCATTCTTTAGTGCTCATTAATACTGTGAGAAGGTGTTTTCCAAAACGGCGTAATATCGCGGGTACAATTGTGTGGTCGAACGGCTTCAGCACGCCCCGTGGTCAGGTTCCCCCCTCTAATTCCTCCTTCTCGTCCGCCGTCAATTCACTTTTGGCATGACGAATCCTCACGAATACCAAAACAATCAAAAGGCCAAGAATAGAAAGTCCTGTCTGGAAACCAAACACCGCCTTATAACTCTTCCACGTACCGAGATACTTCGTCTGGGTTTCAACAATGCCCGCAATCCCCAGCATAACCGCAATCCCCATATGCATAGTACAATAGATCAGCGCACCCGCCAGGCCCTGCTTGGCCTTCGGCATAGTAGTCGTGATGAATATATTCGCGAGATTGAAACTGATGTCGATGGCGATGGTACCGCAGATCATTGCGGGGAACACGTAGGCCCAGTAGTTTCCTCCGAGGGGGATGATCGCAAATAACAGTCCTGAACCGACGTATCCCAGACACGAGATAATCATCAGTACTGTACCGGATACTTTGTGGAGAATGAATCCTCCCGTCACTGAGAGGATGAGGCCGCCGACTGCCATCGGGACGGTCCAGGCGACGACCTGGAGAGGGGTGGCTCCCATAAAAGCTGACATGCTGCACGAAGTTGTCAGTGATCATCTGGCTCCACAAGCCATTGATGAGGCACACTTACTACAGGACTCCGTAGAGAAGGAAAATGCCCAGGCTTCCGTAAAGACAGAGCAACGCCAGTATCAAAGGTGTCATAAACTTGACTCGGAAAATGTCACCAGGAATCAAAGGGTTACGAATCACCCACGCCTCAAGATACGTCATGACGCCCAGCAAGGTGATGCCAATTGCGAAAAGTACCGGAACGTACGGAGTTCTCCAACCCCGCGGGGCGTACGAGCTATCCGCAATAGCGAAGACAAAGAGCGTCGCTCCTGAGATGGACAAGCAGAATCCAACCCAATCCATCCGTATCCCAAGCTCTCGCTTTTCGGCATAATCGCGCGGGATATACAAGAGCGACGGGACTGCCATGATCGCCGATAAAATTGCACCAATAAAGAAATACCATCTCCAACTGAAGTACTGGTCACAGATCCCAGAGACGAAGTATCCGGCGAAGAAGCCTAACACGGCACATGTGCCGTAAATACTAAACACCAGGTTCTTCCGCGGCCCTGGGCGGTATGTACTTCCTAGAATCATCATTCCAGATGGGAGCAGGGCTCCGAGAGCTAACCCTTGCAGGGCTCGACAGACCACCAAGCTCAACCATGTCCGAGACACGCCGCAGAGGATCGAAGAGATCATTAGCCAGATGACCCCGGCATTGTAGATGATATATCCACCGTACATGTCGATCAAGCGGCCGAATATGAGGAGCGTTGAGGTGACGGCGAGAGAGAGGGCGGTGGTAGGCCATATTGTCGAGGCTGCAGGTATGTCTAATTCTTTTATGAGAGTCGGGAGAAGAATGTTCGACCCTGATATGTAGAATTCCTGTCGAAGTGGTACATTAGATGGTTCGCCTTGATAGGCACGGGGTAATAGGCACGGGGTATCGTCTCACTGCGAGGATTTGGGACATCACAATCGAGAAACAAAAAGCTACCTCAGGCCAGAGCCCGGAGAAGGTGTGAGGCCGCTCTTTACCCAGTTGCTCCAGATCAGGCATACTTGCCGTTTTGTTTCTCTGATCTTCGGGTGTTGTCATATTGGAGTCAGTGGTTGAAATTGGCCCATTAGAACTTGACTGCATTGGATATTCAAAACCCGAGATATCAAAGCCAGCTTCAGCCTCGCCTTGTTATTGACTATGGGGTCACTCTCCCTCTTATACCGTGAGGCCCGGCGCACCGAGGCAACTTTGCTTGTTCAGCAGCCAAGACCAATCTACTCTGGGCTTTCTCGAACTGGTAATGGAAAGTTCAAGGTTCTCGCTAATCCTCCCAGATGGTAGGCTAGTCTGTCAATGTGGAAGTAATTACCTAACATGAGCCAAGCTGCCACCACAACCAGACCGGGTAGGGAGACTGCCGCCGATTGCTGTCGTTGCCAAGATGTTCGCCGGAGCACTTTCCGATAGGGAACTTGACCGCGGTGGTTGATGGGCCGCCCAAGGCCAAAGGTTTCAGGGGATGTATTACAAGCCCATAAGGAATTAACATTACGGCCCCAACGGTGATAGGCATGTTGTTGGAAGCTGGAAGTACGAAAAGGTTATTTTTTTTAGTAATTCCGTGGAAACTTCACGATCTCTGTAATTTTTCTGTAAACACATACTGTAACTCAACGAATGGCTCCAAGGGGGAAGGCGACTGTACTGAGCTTACCTTCTTGAGACAGCCTAGGCTTATTCTGCACAATCCAATGCCCGCAATCTATATGGATGATCCAGAGTCGCACTCATGGTTCATTTATTGTTCTGTCAATGTTGTGTCTCAGACACCTACCCTTCTCGGCATCGATTACAGTGGCTCAGGTGTCAAACCGTACTTCAGGCCTTTGGAAAACTGAACCATTCCACTCCCACCCCAGCACCGGGATCGACTATGCAGATCTGGACTTTTTAGTTAGAACGACTTACGGGGTATCCGGAACTTGAGCGAAGATGCTATGGACAGATCATTACGCAAGAATATAAATCAGCGTACCCCTGTAATCTATTTAGGGATTTCTCCCTCCATTGATCATCTGGCCAGCTACTACGCATCGTAGTTCGTGGACTACGCATCCAACCCCTGGTTGGCATTTCGCATGCTCCAAATCTGGCTATACTGATAGCGTTATCCGTCTATATTGGATCCAGCATGTTTTTGACCCCCACACCAAGCCACTGGCTGGGAATAAGCGGCGTCTTCTCATCAGCGATGGATTCGGTACCCACGAGTCTCTTGAGATTATAGAATTCTGTCTTCTAAATAATATCATTCTCTGTCGATTGCCATCTCATACGTCGCACAAACTTCAGCCCTGCGATGTTGGCGTTTTCTCATCGCTGAAAACAGCGTACCAGGAACAGGCCGAATCATTGGAGCGGTGCGGGGCTAACACTATTGGGAAACAGCATTTTACGTATCTGTACAGCCGTGCTCGCTGTCAGGCATTCGCCACTCGGAATATTCTCTCGGGATGGTCCAAAACTGGACTTCGGCCCTACAATCCCGAGAGAGCCCTGAAAGATATTCAAAAAAAGTCTCGCCAACGCTGAACAGTTAGAGGCTAGTGATACTCCCCCGAATATCGGCAATGACCTTCCTGACACACCAGTCAGTTCCCGCGAACTAGCTTTGCTACGTAGCAAAGTGGAACAGGATGCACATCAACTGGACGCTAGCTGTAGGTTTCGACTTCAAAGATGCTAAATGCAACAGAAAGAGCGTTTGCGGAGCGTTCAATGCTTCTGCAGCAAAATCAAGACTTGTTTCAGCAGAATAACGAGAAGAAAAATCGCCAGCGTACTAAATCAACGGTGGTCGAGAAGGCTAAGATCGTGACATTTGAGGATATTGCAGTGGCATAAGGAAAGCGTGAAAAAAAGAAGCCGCTCGAGAGGCAAAGAGGAGGAAGAAATCAGCTTCAACGAGTGAAACGAGTCATACTCTGCCTCATGCAGAGGAACAGACTCCAGGAACCTTTGAGGGCTATGGATGATTATTGCTCCATTCTCCAATTTTTGATTGAGTTCGACAATTATTTTTCTTCTGATAGAGTTAGGGTCAAAATTACATTCAGCTCCACGCTAAATATCAAAATCGACGAATTGGCTTACTCCATGAATTTAGATTTGATTACGAACTTCACAAACTAGCCTACTACATCCTCAAAGGGTGGTTATCACTGTATTATCAAGAGACAAAGAGAGGTGAATCATGGCATATAGTACAAATCCAAGGGGTCTTGAGACCAATTCTCAATGTACAGGCTAGGTTAGGCCATCATCTCATTCGGCAGGAAAAGAGCCTCAGAAATTCCGCAGTAGCTCCCTGCGGCTACTGATGATTGATTGATGATTGATTATTGTGGAAGCTTTTTGACTTATGCTTACAGTATCTCCCGGCATCGCCTCACGGGTGAGAAGATTGAGTGGCTCTTTCAAATCCTAACCACATCATCGCCTTCAGAACATGGTTGACCTATATTTCAGATCATGTGTCTGGTTTGTACGGATAAATTCAAAACGGACGATAGTTGTGATCGTATGCTTGATTATTTGTCCAATATTAATCAGGGATGGTGCATCGTTGTCTCAACCCTGAATCCATTACAAAGAAACCTAAATCCCTGACACAATCATATGGTTGCATATATGATAAGCAACACCAAAAGTCTCATTATGATTCCACAAATGGGTCCTAAAGTGGGTGCATGCAGGGAATTTCTATGGGGTTCCACCACATCGACCGCACCATCCACCGAAACGACTCTTCGCAGTTATATTTGGAGGCGGAAAAGAGGCCGTGGACGGGTGCGAGTAAATTGGCCAGCAGCATCGTACTTTTGTTTGCGGCTTAATCTGAGAAGACTATTTTTGGAGATACAAAGCAGCCGAGCTCAAAAATAAGTGCGGGTCGGGTATTTATACTCAGCAACACCCCTGAGCTTTCCCTCCAGTGAACCCCTTCTCCCTTCATCGCACGGCAAAATGGCAATCTCAGATAACGACGTGAAGAAATTCGAATCGATCGGAGTCGTATCACAAGGATCGACTTGCAACGACGTCTCCATGACAACCCCTGAAAATCAGCGAGAGGATCCCAATCACATGTTGACTGTCTTTGAATATCGGCGGAAAACGGCGATCTGTATAGAAGAGACAGCAGTGGAAAAGCGTGATAAAATGCTCAAACCGAATGCAATTTCTTCGTTGTCGACCTTAGTCGAAAGCACTGGATCCCGCACCCTTGCTATCGACTGGAACAACCTTGACGTGGGAACAGATCTGAACGTTCTTCCGGCACTGCCACGTTCAGTGGAGACGCTTGAAATCTTGTCGATGCCTGAGATGTTCACAAGCAATATAGAATGCCGGGAGGGCAACAGTCTGAACTCATTTTGTCATAAACTGTCTAATGGTACTCTCCAAAAAGTCATTTTGACATGTTGTGGGTTTAGAGCAAGTGAATTGGCAGCTTTAAAGGAACAGCTTCCAGCTTTGAAAGTTAGAGTCCACGATGGACGTGTTATTGATCCTTGACGTGGGCTGGGCCATGGGCTGGGGTGTGCGAAAGCCCTCCATGTTAATATCTATGTTGTATTTGAGTTTACTCTTTTGATTTGTACGCTAGGGAATTCTAGTAAATGCGGAATTTCGAAAGAAATATTCAACCACAAATAAGCAACCACAAATGAGCATCCATCTAGAATGAATAATAGAACAGCTCAATAAGGGCAATAGAGTTGGAATGACGCCATTTAACGGACTGAAGTACAGGATGTTCCACAATATCAGAAGCAACGAGGGCCTTGTCATCCACACAGCTTGCATGGTAACCTGCTCCACCTCAGGGTAAAACAACCTCTCGAAGAAGGATTATTCTCCCATTGGTGGTGAGGACCTCGGCATCAGGCAGGCAGGCTGGCAGAGACCACAAGCTCGCTCTGTGGTCCCTCGTCGTTCTGCTGGCTGAAATATTACCAGTTGACTCGTGGGCATTACCATACTCTGCACAAGTGGCCCCATCACAACTTCGGATCTCGGATGCCAGCACCCAGATATCGAGAAAGATGGAAAAGTGGGAAACGCACAGATGGAACTTCTCAAATAATGCACGGCTTTTCAGACGGACAAAACAAATCTAGAGACATGAAACTGCTGGGCAAGCAACTACAATTTCCTTCGCAGTAAGGGTGAAAGTGAGCTTGCTCGATCCACTAGATCTCCCTGACTAGCTGAGATCTGATACTTTTGCCGCTATCGTCACCGGTCAATAACATAACCACGTGTTTTCCTTGCCCAAGTTCTTTCGCGATCCTCATTGTCGTTTCCACAGCGTGGCTGCAGTCAAGGCCTGGCCGAATACCTTCATACCTTTCCAAAAGCCGGAACCCTGCCCGAGCAACCGCATCGGTTGCAAGGACGCTTTCCATGCGGCCAATCGTCTTCCAGTGGGCAATTTCAGGGCCCACAGTTGAAATGTTCATGTCTGCCGAGATGGAATGGGAGTCAAGAATTTGACCATTGTGATCTTGTAGCACTAGTGTACGCGCCCCCTGGAGAACTCCAGGTGAACCTGCGCTTAACACTGCAGTATCAGCACCCTCAACGCCGACTAGGCGAACCAAAGGATCAGTCACAAATGGGCCAAAGAGCCCGACTGCTCCCGATCCACTGCCAACAGCGGCAACAAGTGCATCTGGTCGGCAACCGATGGCTTCATCCATCTGGACCATCACTTCCTTGCCAAGTAACGCTTGGAAAATCCGGTTCAAATCTGGCAGGGGTGCTGGCCCGATTGGACCACCAGGAAGATAATATGCGGTGTCATGGTTGCTGGCTAAATAACGAATTGCTTCATTGACTGCAGCTCGTAGTGTTCCATTGCCGCTTGGTGGACTCGCCGTAAGCACTCTGGCGCCTAGCATTACCATCGCATGGATACCATCTACCTGAGCCAGAGCATCCGCCGCACCTATGGTGATCACACATTCAAGCTCGAGTTGTTTGCACATTTTCGCTGTAAAGATTCCATGTTTCGCTGACGCGCAGTCGGTGACAATCTTCCTGCGGCCAAGTCGGCGGGCTAATAAAAGCTGCCCGACTATATTGCGGGTCTTATGGGTGCCGTATTCATTCTCATCGTCTCGCTTCAACCAGATTGTCGCCACAGAGCCATATTCGTCCGTTCCAGAGGCTAGACCAGTCAAGTTATAGGCTGGTAACAGCGGGGTAGGTTGCGCACGTTGGTACGCCTGATACTCGGTCCAGAAAGAAGGGTCTGAACAGGCGGCTTCAATTGCGAGTTCGAGCTCGTGAAGAAATCCCATCAGAGGTTCTGGTACGAATCGCCCACCAAATTGGCCGTAGCCCCCAGGTTTGGACTTCGCTGACTTCAGTGGCCCTCCCACCCGCACCATCGAAGGGCGCAGCATATCCTGTCCCGGGTTTTGGTTGGTGGGACATGTCGAGATGAAATCAGATTGATTGCCCTTTGACTTGGGCCTCCTGACGCCTTGAACATTCTCCAGCCCGGGCTTGTGTTCCCCACCTATGGCTAAAACGGAAGGCGATTCTCGTTGCTCAAAATACTGCGTGCGAGTTTCAGACGATTCGCTTCTGGCGGCAATCCTGCCTATGGGAGACAGGCGGCTGGCGGTATGCACTATGTTGCGAATCCGATTCATGTCGATTGATGGCACACCAGTCGCAAAGAGAGTACTTTCAATATTGGAAAACATAGTTGGTCTTGGTTTCTCCGATGGAAGCGGTTTAATCCTCATGAACGTAAAACTCACAGCTTGCTGAATGGGTGCCGCGAAAATTTAAATTCCGGGCGGAGAGAGCTGGCTTATAATGTTTTATACGCCACAGAATGGGCCACCTCATCAGCTTCTTCTCGGTGACGATAGAATGGGATTATTGCAGCACGGAGCAGATCCTTACCGGCAACAGTCTTCCCACGATGAAGGCGTATGAGGACCACGTGCGTATTTAGCGACGTTGTCGGTTTGACGGATGCACAATTTGGCCCGTGTACTCCAATTTATCAAAGACAGGCTTACTATGATTGACTACAAAAGACGGATCACGAACCTGCCTCTACCCTCAAGTCTTTGTCTTGCATCAGATTAACTCAACAATCGATGTATGATTGTGTAGTACGGAGATCAGGGGCGTAAAGCATCTGAGTCATGTAACCTTTACATGCGGCTACGAACAGTCTTCCGTTAGGGCCCGTCCTGTTCCGACCCTGTCCATTAGATAGTGCTAGGCTTTGTCCTCTGAAAGGATCTCTGCAAGAACTATCTCATCTCAACCAATCACCTCTTCTGAGAGGACGTCATATATTGTATTCATTCCGCAACCCATGATGTCCTCATCCCGTTCCTTCATCTGCTCTCTAACCTGTCATTAATCCAGCATGAACGCATTCCCATCTTGTAATGGAATATAGGGAATGCTTATCTATACCTTCTAGTTCAAAAAGATACTCTGCCCGGAGTTTGCGCGTTTCCTGACGCTAAAATCTCCGCTGAAGTTCATCCGCAGTTAGAATCTGACGTCGGAGCATGCCCTCCAGTAGAGATTTGTGCTTCAAGACGAGCTTTGAGCTGCAGTCGACGGATCTAAAGCGCCTCTAACGGCGTCCGCATGGGCTCCCATATTGGTACCATGTCCTGGCATTAAGCTGGAGCGAGTGTCCTGTTCTGCACATGGGGTTAGAACGTCGACCTGCAAAACAAATGACCACCGGGGCGTAGACCTTGAACCATTCGATTGGATGGGAGGTCCGATACTGGATAGCCTCGCAGATGTATCAGAGAAGCACGAAGCCGTGATGAACCTTCCTTCCATCTTGCACTTTTTGCTACTCTCAGGCCATTAAGCCTCTGGCAGCCAAACTTTGTATCCGAAGCATGCAGCCTATTCCGGTTTTAAAGGACAGTTTGTCTTAGTGCAATACAGACTGTCACACAAAACATTATCGGACAAGCTTGACTCACGACCGGTCTGGTCCGAAGATAATTAGCGAAATACATCCCTCAGCCTGACTGGAGGCGGCCAGGGATCCCGGGAGGCATCAACTTTTATTCCAAAGAACGCATTTATCAATTCCTAATTTTCGACTGCCCCTGCTTCCAATACCAGGGATATGGAATTTGCTGCCAAGTTATCCGGTCATAATTCTTTGGTTTAGAGCTATAGGAATGAGTGGAATCAGCCCATCATCCATGATACTCGGTTTAGACCAATTTTCGCTGGTATCGAAAGTGTATAACTCTTCGGAAATATACAATATATTGATTGACAGACCTTGAAAGTTGGCTTCTCGATCTGTTTTGGTCACCTCAATTTCCGTAAGTTTTTGTGATCTACAAATCTTCCAGATTTAGCACAAAATCTTTATCACGTGTCGAGAGATTTTATTATACGTACGATATGAAGTACAATTGATAGGTCACCTATACGCGTAAATGTATCAACCGCTGACACGCTTATTTGGCCTCCAATCGGCCCGATGGTTGACCCCACGTTAACATACCGTGACGTTTCCATTGACGAACGACGTCAGTCGTCAGTTTTCGAGCTTAGAGGACGCTAAAAATAACGTCTAACTTTAGTACCATCCGTGTCGGGGGAACTTGGATCTCCCCAGACTTTCATCTTGCCATTTGCTCTTACAATGGTCAAAATTGTTATCACAATGAGTCTATTAAGGCGGGCTGCGACGACGGCGAAACTTGACCCCTCGATACCCCCGGGAAAATGAATGTGTCACTCATGCCCTATAGGCACCTTATGCTCTATTCTACTCCATTTCGGAATGAAGTAACCACATAGTAATCAAATCAATAATAAAATGTACCAATAGTATACGAAAGTCTCGAGACATTCGGGACTATTATTTTCCCGCGGGTACTTTTGGAAATACTCCTGAGGTACTCCCCTTAACGACTGGTAACTATCCTCTACCCTCACCATTCAATTCCTTCAAGTCATCTGACATGTGTTTTATTAACCTGATCTATCTATTTCCAATGGAAACACCGGACATAGGCGCGCCCTCCCTCAGCCGCCGTGAAGGACCAAGAACTACCTAGAACAAAAACCATGATCCATAAGCATGCAATGGCCACTCTAAGAAGGTTTGGGATACTGTGCCAAATTTGGGTTTTCTGCGTGTAGCTAGCTTACTTAAGGGAAAATTGCGCCGATCGACGTCTTCCTCTAATAGATTGCCACAATGGAAATTTTCCCGCCGGAAATATGGCTGCTTGTTGCCGAAGATCTAGATCGAACGGCTTCCCTGAATCTAAGCAAATCTTGCTTGTACTTATCTGGTCTGGTGGCACCGAGGGTTCTCGGGTATCGGTTCTTTCGCAGCCTCGAACATGACGGGGAATGCGCTGCTATTGATTTTGTGAAGGCCCACAATTCTATCGATTTCACTGTTTCCGACGCACATAAAAATACAGTCTTCCACTTGATAGCGGAAAGAGGCTATAGTGATATTCTTTGCTTATTGCTCACCAATCCTCGGGTCAAAACACTTCTCAACGCCCGAGGACTTTCTGGTAATACGCCATTGATCTTGGCTGCCCAACACAACCACTACCAGGTGCTGTCTGCACTGCTCCACGCTGGCGCAAACGTGAATGCACAAAATGGAATCGGCCAAACGGCATTCTATTGGGCCATCCAGAACGATAATTATTCTGCCGTAGTTGCTCTTCTAGACATGAACGCCGACCGCACAATTCACGGAGGTCTGTCAGCATTATGGGCTACTGCCAAGAATCGTAGCTTATCACTCTCTGAGCTGTTGCTCTGCAGAGGAGAGAGTCCGAATACCCGGGATGCCTCTCAAGATTCCCTGTTATATTGGGCAATCAAGCGTAATTATGAGGCGTTTGTTCAGCTGTTACTTACTCGAGGTGCTGATCCCAACCAGACCGACAGGCTCAGGCGCGGTCCTCTGACGTGGGCAACCTTGAGGGGTAACGTGAAAATCACTGAAAAACTCCTTTGTCACGGTGCAAATCCCGCGATAGTGGATCGGTGTGGCCGAACCCCTCTCGCCTGGGCTGTAAGGATGGGTAACGTAGAAATGGTGCAGATGCTGCTGCACCGTGGTGCTGAGTTGGAGACCGTCGACCACTTTGGATGGACACCTCTTGCCTGGGCTACGTCGCAGGACGATGTAGAAATGACTCGCCTGCTACTGGCTCGAGGGGCTTCCGCCCAACATGTTGAAGACAAGGTTCAGGATCCTCTTATGTGGGCGGTAGCGAACAAGAACATGACTCTAGCTCGAATGCTTCTCGCCAAAGGTGCCGACCCTATGCGACTTGATGGATACAAGTGGTCTCCCATGATGGAGGCGGTTCAGAACCAAGATACTGCTATGGTTCGTTTACTGCTGACAACAAGCTTCCATGCTGTCGACGTGCAATCGGAAAATATGTATGGGGATTCGGCATTATCGTTAGCTCGTGATATATCGTCATCGAGTATGATGGAACTCCTACAAAGCCAGAGGTGAGGGGAGCCTTAGCTCACCTCGACGACCAAGCCGTACACAGCAAGGCAAACGCGGTAGCTCCTGATAGCAAAATGATTGTCCTCTGGAAGCTAAATTCTTGATTTTTATCACCATTATCCAAGAGAATACCAAAATATTATAACGGGAACAACGATACATTCTCCGAGATATGAGTCTGTTTTCCATATGCCATATATACCAACATAGGCCAATTCCTCCTAATTACTTGGATAGTGCGTAATCTTCCAAGGTAGACACGATAGATCTTCAATTCTCAGTCACAAAGCTTCTCATCGAGCCCACCGAAGACAATACAAGGAACATCTCGTAAATTAGTACAGTACACAATTGCGCACTTAAATTGGGCAAGTTTGCCTTGCTCTGTAGAATTGAAGATGGCTATGGAGAATCAGTAATTGAAATCAGTCTAATAACTGAGATATTGTTTGGCCATTAGGTGCCTCCATAGTAACCTAAGGATAGCTATAGTATCGTCAACCCCCCCACTCATTAATTTACATCAAATTTCTCTGCATAATGCCACCTCGCTGAAGAGCAGTAGGATGATTCAGCTCTCAAATTTTCGGCAGCCGAGAATACATGAGACGGACATAGCCGCCCACAACTTGCCATTACCTGTGGCATTCTCGGCTCAGGATCCATGAAACTTTTGTTGATATGAGATCCATGAGAAACTCGCCTAAGCGGTCACCGCGCAGATTTCCGATGGGAGGTGCTTTGCGCTCATCTTGTGAGTGGTGTATCCCGATTGTACCCAGTGTATTGATCAGTACTACTATCGGTCGCCTCACTGGTACATTCCTCGGTCTGTCATCAGATATTAGCAGGACTCGATTATAGAAGTGGCTAAAGCACGTACACTTGCGAGGCACAGCGGCTCAGAATTCCTAACAACGACACCATAGCCAGGTATAGAGGTACCGCCCATGGGCTACTACAATGGCTGACAGCAATCAGGGCAGCTCCGAAAACAGCCAGACTGTATCCCTCGCGAAGATTGATATTGCTTTTGAGCGTGGAGTGGGGCCCCATGACACCAAATAGAAAGAGAAGGGCTCGGGTGTAGACAAAGCCATGCAATGGCATGACTGCGTCATGATAGTCCATAGGGTCTTGGGTGACGTAGGCCAGGGCCATCATCCCCACTCGCAGAAATGATCCAGCTTGGTATGTTGGCCCTGGAGGGCAAATTGAATCATAACAAGAAATCAGGTCATTTGCATCACTTCGTAATTACAGAAGGTCGGGGACACTTACGTGTATGCCAAGCATGTCCGTTGGGGAGCTCACGAACCAGCATTAGAGAGGTAAAGGAATGTGTCCAACAGGCAGCGACCGCCGCGAGAGAGCATTGCCAGCCCCCGTAGTATAGGGCGACTTCAACAAGCCCAGAAGCGATATGTGCAGGTAGGGCTATCGTACGTCAGTATATATCTTGACCGGCATATCTCTCACGTACCTCTATGTGGTGGACGATAGGTTCGGCCTCGGTTTAAGCAGTGGTAGGAGGCAAAGATTCCGTACAGACTCAAAATGACAACATCAGAGTCATTTGTGTGTACCCTTGCATAGTCTAGGACTGTTAAGTCCCTGGGCTGGCTAGACAGAAAGATTTGGACTCACCACTGAGGTGACGGGAAGAAGTGTGATTCATTTCAATGGAGAGTCTCTTGTTTGCGAAGATCAGAAATAAATGATGCATCCACTCTGCGGGTGGTTGCGGAAATTTATATTCGGATGGAGCCTCTTGAGGTGCCTGCCGAGTTCCACTTGATGCTAGAGCAACATAAATCAGGTATACTCGAACCTTATTCACTTTGACGGGAAGGTCCGTGCGAGATGATTAGACTATTGTAGGTACCAATGATTCAGCCTTTGGTCTTTGGTTCTGTATGAGCCAATTCTTCAATTATGCACCTGGAGGGGTCTTGATTCGATGGACGATGAACTGCAGGGCCGATTTCAGGGACATGGTCAGGTGCAGTATAGGAGACCCTTCATAATTGCAGGCGAAAGAACCAAGTCCATCTCATGATCGTAGAGGTGAATCAATTGCTGTCAGTGTATCAGCTAAATTGACAGGAGATTTTCTGATAATCCTTTCAATATATCGCTTTCTTCGTCAAATTGTCTTATAAGTGTCATATACGAGAGCTCGCAAATCTTGGCTTGTGATTTTCCCTTTTGCAACTCCCCACAGAGCTGGAGCAGCCCAACTTCAACTTTAAAAGCCCTAAGAGATAAAGATCAACCTAATGGAGGTGTGAGCAGAGTTGGGTATCTTTGATTGCGATAGAACTACATTATGTATAATGCAGCGCCAGATCATTCCGCTTAAATCTACATTTAATATGGAATGCTTTTGGCAAGACAATGCAGCATTGCCCTCAGCTTATAATCTTTTCATAATACTAAGGGCGTACAGCAAACGAGAAGTACTATCAAAAAGTAGGTAGAATTTAGCTTACTATAACATTCATAAGCACTAGCATCTTAGGACATATTTTGTGAGGGTTAGGATTAGGAGTGTGACATTGATTTTCGATTTAAAAATACTACGAGAGCTGATATGTTCTTAAAATAGTTGGCAACGTGACATGGTCGTTTAAATGGCGGTGTATATAAATATAGTAAATATAGTTGGCCAATTTTCATTAAATAGCCCTCCTACTTAGCAAGCACCAGAGGCATCGCTTAAATCCTTCAACCCCTCAGGCCTGCAACGTAATCTTTACACAAAATGATTCCTGATGTCTGGCTTTGGCAACTTAAATTATTGCTGCGGCGGCTCTCACGAGGTATCGCTGTGTCAGATTCGTCGCAATATAGCACAAAATGTGTATGTACAAAGAACGCTTGCGCATTATCAGCAGTTGCTGATCCCTTCAAGTCGACAGTTTTGGGTTCAATGGAAGAACGTATACACTTGATGGAGACGATTCGATATACTCAAAGGCGCCAGCAATACGCCGAAGGTACCGCCCAGATCGAATTGTTCTATCACTTATATCATTTAGTGCAAGATTTCTGCTTTCTACTACAGCTAGCCTACCATGTCGATCAATTCATACGTACAGTAGTATGTCGTGGTGGAGAATCGGCACATTCGTGTAATACTAGGTTGCTGGAGTTGATGCTGTGTTCATTAGAGAAACATGACGGTCAACCTTTTCTCGAGCTCCGAGATGGTCTTCGAGGATTCCAAGCCTGGCGTGATGACGTGACAAACAGTCCCGCAATGTGGGAAAACACCTTGACTCAGTCCATTCTTCGTCATCTAGGATGGGCCATACACCAGAGTATGCAAAACTTGAAGTCTGCACTTTTGGTCTCAGCCCTTGCGGAGCCTGTTGACTTTGTAACGCTCGAGAGGGAGACAGGAAGGCCATGTTGATTACTTAGTATTGAGTGAAGACTTGCGCGCGCCAACCAATCCGGCTCTAATACATCATGGGTGCGTTGTTATCGATGGAAGATCGGATGATGATTAGAGTAGAGAATAGATTTCAATGCAAGTAAAGCTCACAACCACAGGAGCACCGCAAGAAGTGGACCGAGAAGTAACATGTTGGACACTAATGTTGTGTTGAGGTGATAGTTCATTACGGTCAGGGGTCAAAGCCAAATGCCCGCCCTAACGCATCTCTTAGTAGGTGTCTCAAACCATCACAGTGGATAGGTCTGTTGAGAGACATCGGAATGGTGTCTGAGCATGTGTAGGCTTAGAGAACGCTCTCGAATGGTCGGTCCATCTTAGGTCTTCAATTTGGCGCTAATACATAAATATACAATCAATGACTGCCCACTCTCTCAGCTTCCGTTCCCCTCGTCCTTTCTATTGCCAAACCGGCCGAGTCAGATACATCAACCAGAAGCTTTCCGACCGAGAAGTGGAACCATGTGTGTTGTTAGACGGATCGAAAACCACCAGGTTCAAATCAACCCGTTAGAGAATAGCATCTCACCAGGGAGAGACCTTCCGATACCAAAGCCGCCATTAATGCCAACAGCTATTGCGAAGCCACCCACAAAGGAAAACCCTAGATCAACCGATATTCATCACGTGAATGGTTCGAGTACGGTACCATTAGGCAATGTTTGGTCCTATATTCCCGACTGGGTTTTTGAAAGTTGGAGGTTCTCATCTACTTCTAGAGTACGCAGCCCAAAGTTTCCACTCTGGGAGAATCTTTAATAATGAAGACAGCACTGCATGAAGTCGGCTATGTCGGATACCTCCTCAATGCGCGAGTGGCGAGGTCCTAGCTTGATGGATCCCTCTACCGATATCTGGAACATCTTGAGATACATCCGAGAAGAACTCCGAAGGCCGTGGTTGCAATTGGTGGACCTTTATATTACGGGATTTTGCCCCGAACGTTTCCAGGAGGAACCTGTGTGGACACAGGCTATAGCCTTAAATGCAAACGTCAGTTCTAGCTTACCAGGTCATGGGTGGCTTGGAGCAATTCGGGCGGAAATCCTCTATCGATCCAGCATTTTTGGTACATGTTCTATCCAAATAATGTTCTGTGCTCACATCCTCCAACCGGAGAGCTTGCTCCCGGCCAAGTCAGATAGGGGCGTCCTTTCCATGGATCGCTAGGCGAATCCTGACGGAAGTGCGACCGCAAAGCATCTGTCTGTTGGCGGACACAGCTTGGCATCGTCAAGACCGAAATTATTTGCACTATTGCCAGATCGACTTTATGTACCTACTCAAGATTGCTGTTTATGATGCCAGCTTTCTACTAATGTAGTTAGAATCTCATGTTTTTGCACAATGCGGTCTCCTCTCATTTTTTCTCAATGCTGGGTCCTGGCTAAGCCTCTTGAACGGACGGCAAACAGGCTGTTTTGCGCACAATCTCCAATGCTACGAGGAACCATCAATGGACACTCCCCTCATCCTCAAGTATCCTTGTTGAGTTTGCAGGGACTCCTACAGAGATTTCAGTCTGGAATGGTATAGGGCTCATCAAGTTCTCCTGCTCATCAGCTAGCTTTGGCATGAAGAATAGGCTGTCAAATGTTTGAGGGCCAGTTGAGAGGTCCTGCAGCAGCTCATCAGCCTCTTCGAGTTTTAACAGAAGCTATTTCTTTTAAAGAAAAGAACTTCGATCTGCCACCGAAGTTGATCGTCTACGTTTGAACTGATGCTGAAGCGACGTCAACTCCAAATGACCTTCAAACTCATTTTCTTGGTACGAGTCATCATTGCGGAAGGCTGACGGGCCTAGGTCAGGGAGGAAGATACTGTCAGATAGTGGATCATGTGATGATTCCATTGGTGTCGGTAGGACCCAGGAATTAACCCTACGAGGTCTTCTTCCATCGATATCCTTGACGGTATCTCTACGGAAGTGAGCTCTGTGGAGGTAAATTCTGCTGGTGCTGTCTGCTAAACTATGGCATAGGAAATGATAATTTGGTCACAATAGGCGAACTTGATTGAGAATCTTTGCTTTAGGTCATGGTCTCGGACACTTCAATAATCTATGTATGATGCCGATCAATCTAAATATAGTGCGACAATAACATCGGGTAAATCTGCTATAGTTGAGTGCTCAGTGCTATGCTCTATAATAGTCCCGGCTAATGATACCGTAGGGTATGGCATAAATATAATTCCTGCCAAAATCGTCAGCAAAGCTCTAGCGCCAAATAATGCTTTATTACAAAATATTATTATTATATAAAATTCCTAGGGTTTGATTGAAATAATATGCAAAATCGCCTTTTTGCCAATAATAAAACCTACTATATATGAGAAACCAGTCAAACATTTATGCCTTGCACCCTTTAATCTAAAACTTTGACTGTAACCATATACGGCACTCGGATCACATCGAATCTACACGCTGTGCATAGATTCAGGTGTGTGCGAGAAGCGATCGTGCACATCGGGTAGGATAAGGTCATGCGATCTGACCATAGACCAAGGATTATGGAAGAGAGACTATATCCGAGAAAGGGGAGCAGTATTCATTATACAGTACAGAAATGTCGAACAGTGATGGGTCAAAATGCCATGGCTAGGTGGGCCTGGAGACTCTAGTCAGGAATTTTACGCTGTCAAAGCTCGTTCACTTAGTGTGTGGGAAACGGGCAGCATGTATAACATGCGGTACAATGTAAAGGAGTAGAGGAGAAGTCGAAGAATACCCGAAATAATGGATAGGCAATACGAGAGTGTTGAAATTCTTATTGCTTGTTATTCGATGCAATTGTTGAGGATCAACATACAGACTTATGAGCGCCGCCTTGTCTGTGGGCATATAAGACCACTGAAATGACATGAACATTTACTCAAACCATAAGAAGTGATTCGCTCTACCGATTGAGCTACTTATAGCCTTTGGGTGTATCTCAGACTTAACACTGCTATACAATCTATCCCAATTAGAGTCATCTCCACCTAGAACCAATACCTTTCTGATCATGACCAATTCGTGCACGCTCCGACCAACCTCAAAAGGACTGGTTGTTTCGTGTCTTCTCCCGGCCTACGGGGCTGGACGGTATAGGGATTACAGCCATTGAAGACCCCCGAGAGGGGCTTTTGGTACTACAGGATCAGGGCAGTACCTTCTTTGGGTCCCTAAGAATCCGTACTGCCTAATATGAATAACATGATTTCGATCGCCTTATCAACCGTAAACGGAACATATATGTTGTACCGTGCAAAATCCTTAGAAGAACAAATTTTTGTATCTACAAATTCCTTTAACATGTTTGATCCCCGCCTTGCCTCTTATATCATCCATGCGCTAGCCCTTGTCGTTTGGACTTACACTCCAGCAGCGAAAATGCTTTCACTCAAGGCCACGCATATAACTCTCTCGATGGCTTTGTTTCTTCTGATCTGAAACCTCCATTCAATGGATGATTGGCGGCTGCCTCAAAATAGGGTCTGCTGTAGCGGACGGGGCACGTCTTCCGATTGCAAAATCATATTGAAATCGCATGTCACGGGGCCGCGAAAGCTAGAATTGCGACACTGTGGTAATGTATATCCATCCATTGAGAAAAGGCATGATGTATCGTATTTGGCAGAGCTTATGCCTCGTTGTCGATGTTTGCTTTTGTCTATAGCTTTGCGAAGACCGCTGGAAGGTGATGTCGCATCATTTTTTGAATAATATTCTTCTGGGCCGCCTCCAAAAATCATGTCTTCAGATTTTTGGCTTTTGATTGACAGATTGTCGGAATTAAGTCGTTTGTTTGTTGGCGAGAGGAGGTCACGAATCCGATCGACAAGCTAATTGGGATGGAAGAAAATATAACGTTCAACCCACTTCAACTTAGGCGAAGAAGAGGGCAATTTGCGAGCGGGGAGTGACTGCAGCCCAACCAGGATTAAATAGTCTAGTTCTACTCATGGTGTTGATACCAGTGAATCGTCTTGGTACTATTCATTCTTGAGTGGGTCAACATACTGTTCGCACAATCTACTACATTTTCTGCAGCGCTTCTCAATTATATGCATTTAATTGTACTGTATTCACCGATTACACTCTGGCCAGCCATATTCAGTTCGGCCTTAAGTAAAAGTCCTTCATAAGCCACACTATCCGGTGAATTGACGCACGATTTTTGTTATGAGATGTTATCGATTTTTTGATCCGAGATCCCATGGGTCAAATAATGTAGCCGAGAACGTATAGCATGAGCTGTTCATCGAATCCCATTTAAGCCGCTATTTGAAGTGAAGAGCACGTCAAAGTCTAAAGCACGCATTAATGTAAGCACAGACAATATGAATTCAGATTTGCCCTCCTGTGGATAACGAGTTGATTTGGGTGTAGGTAGGATGTGCATTACGCAAATTCTTGTCCTGATGTTGACGAGATGATCACGATATTTCGAAAGAGAGCAAAAATGTTTTCTAGCTCAGTGCTCTGTCTTAAGGCCAATAATAAAAAGAGGGGTCGGAATAGACCGGGGATGGGGAGGGAGACATTTGGTGTACAGAACGCCATTTCAAGTACACTTATCGTACGCGTTAAACATGAGAATAGAGAACGTCGCCTCCATAGTCGCTATCTGCTGCTCCACCTAAGATCCTGCTCTGAACGCGCGGCGTCACGGCACAAAATTGTTTTTGCCTTGTCCATCTCAGAGGATCCCAAGCGGCCATAATGAGACTAAATTAGGGACGCATGGTTATCCATTTCCATAGTGGAGAGGCAGTCTTTTTTAGAAGGACCGAAGTTATTTACTGTCTACACAGAATGGCAAATTCCTCAAGCAAACGTTTTCACCAGAATTGGCAAGGGATGTTAGCCTAAGTAGTACAGATGCTCTAGTTTTGGCCTCCATTCTTCTGAAATATTAAAAGGGAGAGCTATTCCGTTTCAGTGATTGTCTGCTTCAGGGATCAAGGATTTTATATAGGAATATGGGCGTGAGTCGTCGTCATACAGCAAACAGCAACATTAAACCTGACTATGACGCTATCATGGTCCTCGCAGAAAGTGCCATCGAGGACTTCTCTGGTGAGGTGAACAGAGGGGTGGAAGAGGTACTCGCGAAGATGTCGGTTAAGGTCTGCGAAGCAGTCGAAGCGGCAATCAAAAAAACGTCGAATGCAGGACCCAGCGCCGTGAGTACGAGAAAAGAAGCCAATCCGATAGCCCCCCGGTTCCCCGTCAATGCTGGCAGCACCCTCAAGAATACTTCGACGAACGACTGCGCCAAAAGACAGCCAGAGGAGCGGGCACCAGCCCCCGAACGAATTTTGCCAGCAGCAAGAGACCAGTGTACTTATTGAAAAAGTCCCCATGGCGGCTATATATGAAAGAACTACAGAGCTATCGCTTCAGTATATTACTAGCAATCATTCTAGTCTATCTCATGGCTTCCAGTGGGCTTCATACTTTTCTGCGCTGGGCTGGAGCGAAATTTCTTCGGTTGCCTCTCGAAACATTATGCAGTGGAGATATTGAGAAGTTCATCGCGAGAACGTATTAGTTAATTGGGTCTCTTAAAAATCAGGGAAAACTTGTTCCCTGCCGGCCTGATTGCCTCAAAACCAGTGGTAAATGCGAAAAATCTCCAAGATTGTGTCATATTTTCTATTTAGTATTTGCGGTAAGCAGCTGGTGTACAAATCGAAAACTTTTAATATTTCCAGAATTTATCTACTTATCCAACGTCGAAGCTCACTGTATTTAATACGAGGCCATTGAGCCGAATTTAGGTGTGACTTGGGATTGTTTCTTTACCTGTCAAAAACTCATACCTCATCTAGGAGCAAGAGGGGCCCATTTAGAAGTGTTTGATACAGCACTCGGGGGTTAAATCTATACCTGGACATAATGCTACCATGGACTGAATAGAGGAGGTACTTCTGACCTTGTCGTTCAACTTGTTCTCCAGAATTATTGATCAATAGAAGACTTTGTATTTCAGGAGGCAGTGGAAAATGTAAAAGACTAACGACTGAGACATGGTCAAAGCTAGGATCAATCAGTTACCAATGTTGAAGGTTATGGAAACTAGGGATCTTGGAACTCTCTGTTTACCGTCCTTGCGTGGTACGCAAAATTGTCCATCCTTCATCTACGCGAGTGGTCTTGAAATAAATGCCTGTCCCCCTGTCAGCAACTTCGGCACTGCCATAGTCCAATATGAGAACACAAAACCACGACATGGGGGCACAAATTCAGCATCGCATCTACGTGCTCCGATATACAGGATGCACCCGCCTCGAACACTTGAAAGCAATAGAAAAGGTTCGGACTCCGATGCAGGCAGTATCATCTCCCGTCAGAACTCCAAAGATTCTTCATATAGGTTTAAGGTAGCTCGAGCTGAATCATCAGGATCCTAATATATGTAGGAATTGGTTGCCTTGTTGGACTTGAACCAGAATATAGTCTGCTACAGTAGACTAAAGCAACGGTAAAAACATGAGTATCGTCAACTACCGGCGAAGTCTTACCAGCAAAGTAGACGTAGTCTGTTACCCAACCTACCTGTAGTGGATGCGAAGGAATTGGCCACAGGATTACTTCATGTAAAGATTGTATTATTTAGTTAAATTAACGGGTGTTGGTTGAGATAATCGATTTCGATATTGTTTAACGGGGGTAGGTGACCCACTCAACCGTGTGACCCGGTCAGCCGTGAATTACGTTATATCCCTACGCCAACGCTATTTACCCCTGTTCACAACGAAGAGAGGGAATAAATCATGAAGTAATGCGATTGAACAGTGATATATGGTTTACTGTAGTCCCACCATGAATGTAGAGAGCTAACTCCATCGATAGAGCGAATGAATTGATACTAAAATAGCCTGAAATCTCAGAGTTGATAGATACAAACAAATCCGAAAATCGTACATCTCCGACTAGTCAATCCAAATCAAGTTTATAGTCTAGACTATAAAGTTCCAATGCTCAACTTCAGCCTTGATGTCTACCGTCCAATCAAAACTCGGGATACCTCTATGGATGATTGGAGCTGTCTTTTCAATTTTCGTTCTTTCCACCTCTAGAGGACTCTCCTCGGAGGCCCGTTTGGCTAAAGTCTCAAGCCTCTCTTGCATTAGCAGCACTGAGTTTTTGTGGATACTGATTTTATCTGTCGTAGATCGGTTCAATGACGATACTAGATGGTGGAACTGTGCCTCTAGTAAGAGACTACTTGCCTCAGCGAAGCGTAGCCTTATAGCGAGCGAGAAAGGTGATTCGAAATACCCGCGCCTCCAGGCGCATACAGCATGAGGATTAGCGTGATAACGAAGTAAAAGTTCGATCTTCTTCGGGTCTTTGTATTGGACAGCCAAGAAGAGTGGCGTGCGGTTGTCACTGAGCGAATCTACTGATGCTCCTGCATCGAGAAGGAGTTTCGTAACCTCTTCACTCCCTTTGGCCACTGCCCAAAAAAGAGGTGTGAAGCCCTTATATAATGGTTCTAGTGATGGGCGGTTGACATTGGCATTGCGATCGAGCAGGGCCTTGACATAATCGCTGCGATTGTGCTGCACGGCGCATGTGAGAGGAAGGCGGCCGTAATGGTCGTATCCAGACACGCCATACGCGGTATTTGAGAGTAAACAGTCAAATTTCGATTTGTTGTTCTCATTCATGGCTCGAATCAACTCAGAGCTGAATGCTTGCACCTCTTCCTGGGACAATGATGATAGATGGGAGACCATGGTTGATCGAAGGTATTCAGATTCGTGTCTGAGGCACTGAAGAACAAGAGCGGAGGTTAAGCTACGGCAATATATTAAATAGTCATCAATCATTATCCGTTCGACAATAGATAAAACCGTTCTGTTTCAAAATGAATTACTAAATCCGCATATGGCACCTGTTTGCCCGATCAGCACTGCAGATCCGATCTAAAAATAATATTGCCGATTTCTCGTCTACAGTCGTGTTTCCTGTGTTTCTAAAATAATTTTGGGGTTAAAATAGTGACACAGAATCTTTCTATGCATGTTGAGATTTTGTTTTACGTGTAGTCAGCTATTTACGGACACGGCTAATATGACTACGGACAGCGAAATTTCCAGACACTTTAATTAACTTACAAAGTTTTAGTCCAGTCGGCATGGTCCAATGTCTATACGTTTGAGTGGTACTGTAGAGGAGTTTCATGTGGCCGTCGCCTACACTCAATTCTAAGGAATGGCTGTATTTGTCCAAAAAGCACTTCGTGAGAGCCACGGCAACGCCGTCAAAATCCCGAAACTATCTTCAGTTTTTCTATGTGAAATTTCGGCACACCACCTTATTCTCGTGCCTGATGAACACCCCCAACTGCAGACTTAGTATAATCCGTCCTGAGACGTGTTAGAGTGATTCCCACTCTATTTCCGCCCATTTGGTAGAGCGGTGCCCCCAAACGGAATTAGCTTATATCAAACATATTTTCTTGACATCAAGTCTAAAGCGTGCAAAGCCACATGAATTCGAAGATTACTTATCTCTCTGTGCTGAAACGTAACTGTAATCAAATATTAGATCTCATCAGCCTTAAATCATGTCGGACTCATATTTCAGAATATGTCTGTCTGCAGTTATGTTCAGCTACCCATAGAATGTAATAGCTTAGGTACAAAAGACACTAAATATCTACAGCTGTGGTACTATAGCACCTTTTATCTAAACAATCTAGGATGGGAAAAAGCGAGGCAATGGGAAACGGTCTTCTACGACGAATTCCGGCGCTGGCGGACCAAAAGAAATCATACAGGCATTGTGAAAGTGCAGAGACCCAGTCTCGTCTACGTGAATAGAAAGTAGGATACAACTTCGATGGAATTAATCGGAACCTATACGCAATGGGTCCTGGCAAACAAACAATCTTCCAGCTTCTCTGGCCGTAAACATTGCACCGACGTGTCTGCATATCTGATTTGGGAAGAAAAAGAACCATTGCGCATAGTGCCAACAAATAGCAGCGCGGCCCCAAAGTAAGATTTTACAGCTAGTCAAGACGGAGCTGGTCAATCCGGCGATCCTCGCTGAGAATGTTTATAACATGGACGAGACAGGCGTCATCCTGAGCGTTTTGGGTGTTCTCAAGGTGTTAGTCGGGCGGGAGGAGATGTGTAAATATTGTGGTGCTTCTGTAAAACGGAAAATGGTTACTACCGTTGAATGCCTGTCGGCAGATGGTAGGTCCCTGAATCCCCGGGTCGTTTGGCCTGCTTTTACCCACCGTAGTAATTGGACCACTTACCCCACTCCCGGATGGCATTTCGCCTGTTCAAAGAACGGATACACAGACAGCTCCATCAACCTGTACTGGATCCAGCATGTTTTTGACCCTCAAACCAAGGCTCGAGCTGGTCAGCGGCCGCGCCTTTTGATCAGCGACGGGTTTGCTGTGCATGAGTCCCTCGAGGTCTCGAAGTCCTGTCTTGCCCCTATCGACTTCCATCGCAAACTTCGCATAAGCTTCAGCCATATAGCGTGGTAGTTTTCAGTGCATTGAAGACCGCATATCGGGAACAAGCAGGGCTCTTCTATCGGGGTGGAGCTAATGCTGTGCGGTTGGAGCATTTCACTTCCATTTATAGCCGGGCACGAAACTCTGCTGTGACGCCCCGTAACATGAACGCGGGCTGGTCTCAAACTGGATTATTTCCTTAGAACCCTGACCGGGTACTGAAGGACATTCTGCCGCGTCCAGGAGTCAGTTGCTCCAACGGGAGGAATTTTGCTAAAGTGGCCCATTACCATAACAGTGAAGAGCTGTTACAAACACCACAAACACCCATCACGGCTGACGGTATAAAATTGCTGTGTCGTAAGGTGCAAAAAGAAGCTCGTGGGTGCAAAATGAAGCTCGTGGGTAGGACGAGGATTCTAAGCTTCTCTTCAACCGTCTGGCCTATGCAGCGGAGAAGGCATTTGCGGGCCGTGCACTTCTTCGTAAAGACCAAGAGCGACTGTTGGCTCAGAATAATGAAAAGCGAAGTCGAACATCGGAACCAGCACGCAAGGTAGGCAATGCTAAAGTTATGAGCTACGAAGATATAATCGAGGCCCAGCGCAACCTCGAAGCAAAAAACGCTCCTCAAGCTAGAAAGCGTAAATAAAATTCGAGCAGTGGGTGCCGGCGAACAAGGTCTTGCACTGATGATATAGGAAACACTGAGGATGAAATACAGCGCTAGGGCCTTGAAGAACATTGTTCAGTTATTGTTTTTGAATGTCGTTATAACATATAAGTGCTAGGTATATCATAATGGTGGAGTGGGCTGTGATTATAGTTCGGTGGTGTATTTTTTGTTCTCGCAGGCCCTTCCTTGTTCACGGAGTCACACTTGACCAGCATCCTATGTTTTCATGGTAAAATTGAATGCTATTTAATTTCAGAGACAGACGATAACCTAGGCAGTCTGAATTTACGAATAATATTGTTGTTCGATAAATTTATCTTCAACTACGGTGAACGTATCTTTGTCAAGTTTCGGCACACCGCTGTATTTCCGCACCTCATATACACGTCGTAGCTTCAAATTAACTGTACGAAATAAAAATCGTCACTTTGCTAGCTCAAGATCACCTCAATTCGACAACAAACCCCAAGAATGCGACTACTTAAACTCAAGGCTACATGCACGTTTATAGGCTTTTCTAGTACTGGATATATCACGCTAAACCCTGTAGAATGTATATTGCATAGAGACGCCACGTTAGGTCTTTGATACAGCTCTCTTGCGCTATGGTCAAATAACACAGAACAGCGCAGAAATGGCTTTTCGAAACTCTTACTACGCTGAACAAGGCTGGTAGTGTGAAGAGTCGAGGCATTCCAATCTAGCAAGGCCACAACCTATTTACAAAAAACTTGCAGTTGCGGAACAAGTAGAGCAACAGTGGAAGTGGCGGATCGGGAGCGTGCGGGGACGAGTTATTGTTCTTATCTCGATCGAGATGATGTTTTGTATTCAGAGCTATGATTAGAAAAAAATCCTCCGACTTGGTCTTACACCTCTGGTTGGAGTGAGGCTTCGAGATCTGTTTGAAGCTGTTGATCTGGTAATGCGTGCGTGCTGCTACCTCTCACTTTCCTGAATCCCCTTTCTGCACAAGCTGCTGACTGATGCAAAAGGTACTGTTCTTTCCGTGGAGCCGTTCGAACAATCTCCTCAAAGGGTTTAATCGCTCGGAGAGCCCGAACTGCCACTCTCCACAACAAAAACGGCTTTCCTTCTTTCCTCTCGTTAATGAGCTCCCAATCAAGCCGTACGTTCGCGTCGCCTCCAGGGCGAGATACACCCATCAGATTGAGTGCCCCAGTGACTGTAGAATAATCTAACCAGAGACCTTCGGGGCCTGGAACACCATATGTGGCGTCGCAGCGGCCCGAGTAGCGAATTTTCCCAGCAAAGACTCCAAGAAAATCTCCTTCCTGGACGGAAATGATGGGGCAAACAGAAAAGAAATTATTTTCGTCAGGTAGTATAGTGACAAATATAGACTTGTTTCTCATCGCCTCTGCACCTGGATGTAAGTCAAGGAACCCACCAAACTTTGCGAACGACGGCTCGTGCGGCCCACTTGATTGGAAAGTGATTGCTTCCTCATTGGAAAACCACGGGTTACTCGCATTGTTCCACGCAGCTTCTGGAATCTTCAATCTCTCCGCGAGATTGGTTTGACCCAGCCACAATCTTCCCGTGAAGTCGCCCATACTCTCACGAGTTACCCGATTTTCCAGCTGTTTGATCTGCAAACCGTACGTATTTTCCCAGAGCCGAACCAGTTCTACCAGGGACGCTCCAGCATCTGACGGATAACTTTTGCAAAAGCGATCGAACTCCTTTGTCCGATACAGGAGGATCTTGTCAACACCCGCTTGCCGCATCTCGAAAAGCCTCCTCCAGAAAAGGCGGCACTGTCGCTGGTTAGCAAGGCTGAGGCCATAACCCGCTTCTCTCATGAAGCGCTCGGTTGCGACCTTCTCGGCCACTGTGAACTCATCGAGAGGCCCTTTAGGAGTTGGCAGACTCTTTTGATCCAGGAGGTCTGCACCTTTCTTTATGATCTCCCAATACGCAGTTTCGTTGTACCGAGTCTGGACATTTTTGCTGGCTGAAATGGCGTTTTCTTGCTTGATCGCTTGGATGGCATCGGGGTAGTCTAGCTGCACAATTTCATCGACAAAGCTTTGGATAGCCTTGACGCTAGTCGTCACGGTAGTTTGTGCAGATCGTTGCCCGTACCTTCCAAGTGCATCGTTCAACCGTACGCAATTGATGAGTATATTCTCCAGGATACTACCCGGCACCCTTTTCACGACCGTTTTCATCCTGGGCGTGGGCGTGTCCGTTGCGGCGCCTGGCTGGTTGAGATAAAGACCTTCAGAAAATAGGACTGACAGGGGCGACTCGAGCTGGAGGTAGGGGCCAATGACCGCCGGTTCCTCAGTCATCGAGGGACGCGGGACAGGCGTGCCGCTTTCCTGAGTCGCCACAGTATCTTTTTCCTTTTGCACGTTATTATCTGCCCCACCCTTGGCTTTATTGTTGCATCTCCTTTTCTTCTTCGTAGACTCTGGTCCTATGTAGTCCGGTCTGCATCGTGTATCTGATGTCGAAAATTCATTCGCCGCTGTGGCGGGGGTCGGGCTTCGTCGCGGTGTCAGTCTCGGCGGTGCATCCGTACGTCCTAACCGCAGCCATTGATCACGGACTTCAATGCGTCAGTAAACAGTGTCTCCCCAAGCTGCGATCCGAGAGCTCACTAAAGTTCGAAATGGCAAGAATATGCTCTTTGATAGGCTCATCATTACAGCCACCAATCCCACAAAGCACTAGCAGTTCATGGATCTTCCTCGCGGTCAGAGATTCAAAGGCTTCTTCCATGTTTGTCTTGGGCAGTGGAGGAATGGGGAAAAGAGAAAACGGAGAGGGGAGGAAGGCGAACTAAATTCCTGTATTGCACGGATCGCACTAATTCAGAAAAGGTAGAATTAGGTCAAAAAACCTGCCTGCCCAAAACGAAAACTGAGTTGCGTTGTCTAAGAAAAATGGCCGAATAGAAGCCCTTAGATTAGGTCCCAGTAAATTCTGCGTTGCAGGAGAGGAGAATAGGTTATCGAAAAGTATTCCGCAGTACAATAGCTCCTCCAGTCAATATCTGGAACTTTGAAAGGTCTCGTTACGGGACATAAAACCCAGCATCTGACACAGAATCATTTCTACTCGTATCCACACGAATACAGTCCGGTAAGTCAAGTCGGTATGAATGATCAACGTTTTCCATGATTTCGTAGGGACCACTTGCCTGTTTAGCGAGCTTTCGTCCTGGTTTAGCGAGAACAACTCAACGTGTTCTCGCCCATACTCAATTTTGTAGTTTATTAACCAATCAATTCAATTCATCCTGTTCGGGTTATTTCCGCCTGATCTTCATTCGCTAGAGCGCATAGTAACAGATACGGTTTTACAACGTCTTGTTGACAACCGAGGTGGCGCCATTCAGCCAAAATACGGGTAAATTGAAGAAGGGAGTATGAAGTTGGATTCCCCTGGTTAGCTTATAAGTACCTAGCGAGTCAATATAGAGCTCGTGACTTTTGTCCTGGACTGTATTATCCGGGAATAAAGTCTCTCTATACTGGGTAGTATGGCTCCTATGTAGTGCGCACCTTGTTAAAATACCTCAGAGGAGTATATGAAAGTGTCTCGAATTCAGATGACGTGGTTTAAGAGATTCGGGATTTCATCAGCCGCTACTTCGCACGGATTTCTCAATCGGAAGAGATGACGAAATATGTTTGTTTCAGAGTAAGATACTAGATGGATAGACATCACATTGAGCCTGAGCTTAGTCTACATTGGAGCTTGACTAAACATATTTGAATTGCGAACGTAATCAACGTTCAGACTACTTCACCAACTCAGCTGATCACGCATCGCACAATGCCAGTCACCAACAATACAAAGTAAATAGCTATGGAAAGCTATGCCTTAGTCTTGGTTGTGTACAGGAATATTTGAGATATGGGAGGCAATTGACATGACACCCTCTCTATGTACGCCTTTTTCCTCGACATGTCTTTATCATTGGGCTTGTATTATTCAGTGTTCCCGAAAGTGCAAAAATCAATTCATCTAGAGCCGGATCCAGTCCCGTATTCAATATCTTTTGAATTTGAGTTGCGAATTTGAGTAGGCTTTCCAAAGAATTGACAATTTGCGTATCGGATAGTCGGCCCAATGCCATAAGTTCGATTTTCGGCATCGTCTCATCTTCACAAGGAGTGAGCGACTTTGTGAAAGTGCGTCCTGCAGAGCACTGAAAGTTGTCGTGCTCGGTCGAGAACTGGAGTGTCGGTTGATGGTCGAAAACTATCGGTTGTTCTTCGCTTGTCGGTTGATCGAGGACGATTGGTTGCTCCTGGGAGCGGCCCTCTATCGGTGAGGTTTCATCCTCGCTAGTCTCCATCGGCTGAGGCTCGGGCCTCTGTGCCTTGCGCGGTCTCCCCCTCCTCCTGCCGGACGCTGTTGTCACAGATTCATCCGTTGCTTTAGGTGCATGCTGACTACCCTGTAGGCTCGTGGGCGTACGAGGCGGAGGGGGTCGGGAGAGTCGCAAATTGTAGCGTTTTCTTGGTTCAGTCTTTGGCATTGTGTAAAGCGAAAACAGAGCAGTAGGTGGGTGCCGCATCTCGTTGCCTAATAATATTCAGAGTTATAGGATATACGTGGGTGCTTTGATCTTCGTTTGCCTAGCTCTTCCATTTATGGATAAAGTCACTAAATTGATTAGACATCAAACCTAGTGACTAAAATTAGAGGCTACGTATACTCATCACTCATGGATAACCGATCTAAATTTCCTTTTCTACTATCAAACATTCCAAAAAATGGGAGTACGATACAACAGCAGGAAAAAGTGTCGATAATCCTTTAATTGGAGTTCATTGGAGAGACATGATGACCATTGAATCATTTACCCGATTTAGACGCCAATCTCCTCGGCACACAGTAGGACCTAAACGACCGTGATATCTCGAACGCATCTCGCATGCACTCTCCCCGGATTCCAAATCTGGAAATACATCGCTCAGAAATGTCTGTACTAGCACCGCTTCTTTGAGAACGACGTCTTCTTTGGACTATACTCTATAATCATTGAGTGAATGGCATGGTGCTCGGCTGAGGCGAGAAATTTTCGAAGAAACTTATTTCCAACTAACATAAAGAGGTGTTTTGGTCTATTCCTTCCGTCAGACTTGGAAAGACGAGGTCCAGAATGAACTTTTTTGTGTGCTCATTATCAGCATACTCACGTCGCTATATGTCGCATTCAGGACGCAGTCTCGACACAAAGTCGGCGCCTTTTGTATACTTTATGATAGTCTCTCTACAGAACCCCGGCGGCCAACAATACCCAATCCATCCAGAATGCATTCAGCCCTCGCTGTTCGTTGCTTCTTCCTTTCCGCGCTTTTAGCATTGTTAATTGTGAATAATACGAAACGATTAATATTCTGCCAAAAATAGCTATTTCGATCCGCCAATATGGCCTTGTTTAGCGCTGGGACCCAGTTTACGTCTTCGCTGAGCCCTAGAACGGCAGGCATGCTTGCGAGATGCGGAGGTCACCAGTTCCCTTTTCTTTGAAAGTACCGCATGAGTGATCTTTTCCTAAGAATCCCCGGATTCAACTCAATGTGATCGGTTTTTTGATAAATTAGAACGTCCTCAGTCGCGAAGAACCGATCCATCCCTGTAGCTCCGGGGTGACTAGGATCCAACTCGACAATTCGTAGCTTTGGTCGAAGAAATTAACGGAATCGTGGGTATCTCCGATGCATAATGTAGCATGCGTACCGATTCGCCTTCTAGGGGATAGTCTGGATCGAAATGTTGACTGCAGGAAGTGTATAACGCATGCTCTAGTACTCACTGTTGACGAATAGATCTTAATAATTTGAATGGGATGCAGGGCAATATCAAGCCCAGGGTCCTGCGACCATACCAATGATATTAGCAAATTATGCCAAATTATTTCACAAGAAACTCATTAGAATTCTTTTCGATGAATCCTGATCCAGGTCCACACCCTCATCCAAGATAGATACTTAAACTGCAAATCCTCCAACACAAGCTGGCCTTCTGTCAACAATTCAACTGGCTAGAACATACCCAAATCCCAATTTAGTCACCTGCTTTCTAAAGTGAGCAAACAATGCCCTATCCGGAGATGCATCAAGGCTTTGTATTGGACAAGGATCCGTCATCGCCCAGCAGCGTCACCAGCAGTATCACGATAGGTGCGACGACAGAGAAGGTCTTTCATCAAACACGCAATGATGCAAGTGTTCAATCGAATCTTGCCAGCGTGGGTGACAGTGCTCGAAATTGGCCGCTTTGCCAAAAGGTAGCAGTATCCATTGGAGCCATCCTATGTTTCTTGGTAATGTGAGTGAGCAGTTTTGGTGCGGGTCTTCAATCTTCCTCGCTAACTTGAAATGTACAAAGAACGCTGGCTACATCAATCTATATCGCCAGTATACCAGGCATTATGGGAGAGTTTCGAATCGGGAAAACGTTGGCCATCCTGCCCGTCACACTGTATGCTCTGGGCTTTGTTATTGGCCCAATATTTACTTCGGCTCTCTCAGAGGAGTTTGGGAGACAGTACTTGTACAAAACGTCGCTGCTGCTACACTTCATTTTCACCATCGTGGGGGCATCGGCGTCGAATTTTCGCACCATCGCTGTTTGTCGCGCGTTAGCCGGCGTGGTGGGATCACCATCGGTGAGCGTATTTGCGGGAGTTCTGAATGATCTGTGGCAAATGCCCGGAGACCGACTGGGTGTTCCTCTGTTCGTGATGTATGGCCTAGGAGGCGCAGCAGCGCCAACCATTGGCCCTTTGGTGGGAGAGTCCATTGTGGCCGTACATGGCTGGCGATCGTCATTCTGGCTGACGGCTATCCTTGTTGGGGCCTGCGCTGCAGGCATGCTGTTCGTGCCAGAGACTTTTGGCCCAGAAATCCAACGTCGATCGCGAAAGGGCCCGCGGTGTGGTCTGCGAAATGCCTTTGGGTCTGCATGTCGCCGCCCGTTCGAGCTGCTTTGGTTTGAACCCATCATCCTACCCACGGCCGCCGTGGTCACAATGAGCCAGGTCGTCGTTTTCATCCTCTACGCTGGGTATCCAGTCATTCTCGAGCGGACCTACCACTTTTCCTCCTATCAAGTCGGGTTATCATTTCTGCCGTTACTGATCGGAACGCTGCTCGCTGCACCTGTGCTCGCCATACTTGATAGCCGGAAACGTGCCCCAGACCAGTCATCGCCGGAAGACCACCTCGTCGGTGCTATGCTGTCGGCTATATTGCTACCAGTTAGCCTACTATGGTGAGCCGTATTGGCGAGACACATTTTCGCCTCAATGTGCTGACACTGATTTTAGGCTCGCCTGGACCGCACGCCCTTCAATTCACTGGATCTGTCCCCTTCTTGCAGGTGTTCTCTATGGGTTAGGGTTTGCGTTGTCACAGGTAATGTCTCCGCCTTCCGCCCTCCACTCAAAAAAATAGCTGCTAACAGGATTGTGTGTCGTAGCTGACTTATCCATTATACAAAAACGTGGTCTACGGGGCCGAACTTGGCGCCTCCGCTCTCGCGGTTGATGTCGCCATGCGCTATCTATTTTCGTCCGTCTTTCCATTGTTTACCGTGCAGTTAATTGACAGTATTGGATTTGCCTGGACAATGACTGCCTGCGCAGTGGCATTGGTATGCTTAGCCCCTGTTCCATGGGTACTGCGGAAGAAAGGAGCCTCTTTACGTGCCCGGAGCAGATATGCCGAACGTGCTCCCGATATGAGTGAAAGACTACAGATTCCTGTGATGTGCTCTTCACCTCGTGACTTGGGGGGTCTTTTGAAAATTTCGGCAGTGTAGGGAAACCACAAGAGTCGATCCACTTTAGAATCTATCATTGCAAGTATCAATGCCAGCCAAATCCGAGCGATACCTTTCTTCGTAGCGATGCCACGTATTAGCTGGGCGATGTGCCCCATACTTTCCAGTAACCCAGGTCTGTGCGAGCTCTTCCTGCAGCATCAGATAAAATTCACGCTGCTTCCACATAGCAATCCTATCACAACACAGCTTCGTCAGTCGGCTAGAGCCTCGTCCTCTCCGACAAATATAGTCTCTTGCCACTCTCACAGCATATTCTTTCAGCTCTCCAAGGAGAACAAATCTCGGATCATGGAACAGCATCCGGATGACTTGCGCGGAAACCATCGGCCAAGACTGGTATGCATGCTGAATAAAGTGGCGACGTGCATGCCTTAAAAGTGGCACGTTTCTTCGTTGAAGTCCGTACCAGTACATTTCAAGATCCAAGTGGATTCGTCGCTTTGCATCACCTGTAGATGGGTTAGCGAAGTAGCACTGTCTATCAACGAACCGGGCATAGTGAAGGGCGTGATGCGGAGATTTTCTTTCGCTCCTTTTCTGCCAGCGTCCTGGTCTATGTCTCCGGGTTTCAAATTTCATCTCCTGGTATGCAGTAAGTGAGTGTTGCGGTCATGCCCCCTCGCTATGCTTACAATAATATATTCAGCCACGAGAAGTCGCAAGCCTATTTTAAAACCATGCTTTTGAATGGTATGGGTATATTCGGACGCTAATTTCCCGCTGACTTCTTCCAAAATTGGCTGCTGTTGAAAACCAAAGATTCAAGTGTTCTCTCGTTATTTCTGACCGATGATAGTACAACCGCTTCATTGGTAGCATAATTATCGGGAATGACGGTCAGTAGGAAATTGATCTGACCCTTATGGAGCATCAAACACCATAACTACAGCATCGCTGGACCAAAAATGAGTGGCATATAACAAATTACATATTTCGTATTGGTAAAAGTCTTTAACGTCATCGTCATTTGATATGGGTATTTCATATTGATCATGGTTCAACCGGGGTCATTTCCGGCTCTGTTAAACACCGTCAATCAGCCATGAAACGAGCACTTGGCTTACTTGACGATCATGAAAGGAGGGGCCACAATGAGGAAAGAACTTTATTTGCATTGTTTGCGCCATAGTAACGTAGTAGGGAAGTCAAAATGAAATTTCAAAATTTCGAAATTTCTGAAATTTGGCTGCTTGAAATGTAATTTGAAATGGGCCTTGAAATCTTGAAATTGAGCTAGTCCTAAAAAGGTAATGATTATCTTCTATTCTACCAATAAAAAGCTTCAATTGTGAAGAGCGGGACATCGATATCAGGTGCTATCTATCCTCGCCGCCGCCGGGTTGGTCGCTCGGAATCATCTAGAGCTCCATGAGAACATTCAGAGACACGCTTCGACCTCGTCCGTGTAAGATTAGCTGAACCTGAATCTGTTGTGGGTATTATTGGACTAAGGGGAAGCTCCGAGGTTGGCTTCAACAATGAGTTAAGCCTCGAACTCAATGCAGAAACGAGGGCAGGATTCGTTGATGCTGAAGCTGAATTCAATGCTGAATTCAATGCTGAAACTAGGGCAGATGTTGGTGATTTCTCTGGTGACTTCTCTGATGGTTGGTCTGCCGGTTGGTCTGGCGATCGCTCTGGTGGTTGCTCTGGTGGTTGCTCTGGTGGTTGCTCTGGTGGTTGCTCTGGTGGTTGCTCTGGTGGTTGCTCTGGTGGTTGCTCTGGTGGTTGCTCTGGTGGTTCCTCATGATGTTGCTCTTGATGTTGATCTGAGCCCTCTGATAGATCGTGAAGCACTTGGTTTCGCTGCAAAACCCTCTCTACCTCGTCATCCTCTTCTTGAAGTAGTAATTCTTGCGCGACTTCGGGAGGCTGTTCTGCCCGGAATTGTCGTTTATTAATCTGCACGAAGAGTAATTTCTCAACACGTTGAGGCTCTAGTCTATTTCGGACTTTTGTATGCTGAAGGTTCATCTGTGAAAATGCTCTCTCTGCTGCCGCCGAGTTCGCTACAGTATTGCAGAGACGACGAGCAAATGGTGCAAGAAGCGGAGCAACGTCCTCCTATATAAGAATATCGTAAGTAAGTCCTTCTTTTTAATTGTGGTTAATACAACGTACTGCTTCAAGCCAAAAGAGAGATGGGCTCTGGGCCTTCTAGCGGGAGGCATTATAAAAAGCGCCTGTTCTCTGCCTGAATGATAAACATTCATGCCAAGCGGAAGAGCTTTTGTCGTCGTTCTGTAGAGGCCGCAGGATACCTTCGATATAATTTCGAGAGTTCTGGTCAACTTTCCCAGGGACTCTAGCGGGGTCAAGATGATAGGCTACCCAGTGAATAGGCTCAAGCTGACGGAGTATTCGACTTTGCCAACCTATGCCATCTAGATAGGACAAGAAATCGTCCTTAAGAGATGTTTGATTGGCTAATGTTCGTAGATCTTCATGAAGATTTAGCCACCGCTGCGTTACCTCCATAATCGACGAGTTCTGAGCTTCGGACTGTTTCTGGGCAACATGTAGAGGCTTAAGGACTTTGATCAGCTCCTTGAGTTGCCACCAGAACGAATGCGAGTTCGCTATCCGAATAATCTCCCTTCCCCTAGCAGTCGAGGCAGCAGGAGTGATAACTGCCCACTCGCAGATAGCTTCTTGAGAGTCGTAAAGCGAGGATAGCATATTATATTGCGTTCCCCATCTGGTAATAACCGACGCAATTAAAGCCTTCTTTTTACCCCACTTCTCAAGCTGTTTTGCTTGCATTCTTGCGTACTCGAGTGGCGAGTGTTGGAAGAAGACAACAATTTCAAGAGCCTGCTTAAACACGGACCCTGCTCGTGGGACTTTTGAGTTCTTTAGGTCAACTATATCCTTCATGATTAACTGCAGTCTATGAAAATCACAGGGAATCATAATACAGTGTCGGAGTTCTAGTGTTTGCTCAAGCTTCTCCCAGACCGACTTCATAACGCAGCAGGTGTCCGTCGAGATAGAATTGATTCTCTTCCAGTCAGCTATTTTGTCTAGCTGTAACAGAAGGCATTGGAGCCTGTTCAAGATCCAGCTACTAATAGCAGGAGCATCAAGTGTCTTATCTTCCATATCATTCAGGTGGATAAACCATGACTTCGTTGGCGTTGTTATAGTCATCACAATTACCCGCTGAGATCGGATATTAGTTGTCTCATCCACCGTTATATTCAAGAACTCGGTTCTCCGCAGTTCCTTTAGCACCTCCTCCCGTAGTCCATTATATGCTTCATCCAGAAGATCATCGGCGATTCGGTAGCGGGAAGGGATTTGGTACGTTGGACTTAATGCATAGATAAGGTCGCGCATCTCTTGCTGTTCGAAGAGGTTGAAGGGCCTAGCTCCGGTGAAGCAGACCTGGGCTATTAACTGATCAATACTTCGAGATGGCTGAGAAGCACAGAAACTTAGCAGTCTCTGTTTCTTCCCCGTGGTAGTCTCAGGATCCATCAGAGCTTGTGCTTTCGTGCATTTATTAACATGCTCGCTCTGACGCGTCGTGTTTTTAGCGCGAATCTTCAAGCATCCGAGGCATTTTGCTTGAGGAACCTAGCCGAAATTAGGAGAGTACAGAATAAGCTCGTGGATCAAGTATTACCTTTTTATCGCCCTGTATGATTTCAAAACACCTCTGAAGCTCGAGCTCGGTGTAGGAAGACTTTCCGGAAGACTGATTAGCCATATCCAAGGCGTGTAGCTACGAAGGGGTAGGAGCAGCCTAAACATGTCAAAGATATATATTCCAATACCTGTTGCCATGAGCTACAACATATTCAGGATATTCAGCAGGACCCTGATGTGTTAGCTCCTATTGGCTGCAGATTTGATTACTCAGCAACTACCAGCCCCTTGAAATGTAATTGAAATGAGAAAAAAAAGTGAAATTTCAATATTTCGTAATGAGTCGGCCAATTTTGTAATTACACCATCACTATAACGTAGTTCCCCGCCGAGCGGATCACCCCAAAACACCATACTAAGTGCGATAAATTACAACTTCATATCTGAACAACCGGATACTTTTATGACGGAATATCCAGGGTTCATGCTTTAAATAGCATTTCTAGCTCACTGGCATATGAGAAGAAATTTGATTGGAGTTCTGATGGAAATATATATATTCATGTCTGAAAAGGCAAAAATACAGTGTATTTTATAGTAACGTATATAATCTCAAGGCCAATGATAATGTATAACTTTTTCGAGGTGGCTGTTCGCCAAGAGTTATATATACAATACGCAAATTGAAAGAGCAAATCAATGTCGACAACGATTTTCAGTTCTCACCACAAGCATGAATGCGAGCAAATAATGGAAAAAGCCTGAGCGGCGACGAGGAACTGGGATGTATCGTAGCCACGAACAGTCGCTTGAGTGCTAAAGTATCTTCGTCGGTACTCCGCCTAACCTACAGTATCACTTGAAATTGGTGACCACACATTCTTTATAATTCTTAACATATGATGCTCTGGAACAGTGCGAGCACGAGTTCTGTTAAACCATTGTTGGTAGCATAGCAGAAGCTAGGATTGAAAATTGCGGTGGCAGCATTGTAATATGCTTATATCGCCGGTGCAGGGCGCCCCCTCAGAGCAAGCAGCGTTGCAGTCAGAGCCAGTTTGGGAAACGGAGCTCGGAAGCACGGTATCAGCTAAAGACATAGGCAGGCTCCGGACAAATTCAGCATCAGGGACACCACAGAGGACATGAAAACAGGACCCAAGTAGAACCAGCCACCGGGTGGAACCTGCTGTGCAGCACCATATCCAGTATCAAAGCATGTGGTTTGCGCAACATGTACAAGGCAATTTTTCATGCCTACGGCGACTCATTATAATGGTGTTTCACAGTGACATAGCCTTAGAAAGGAGGGCAGAAGAGCTGATAATTGTAACTAGAAGAACTATCAACAACAATACGGTCCACGAGCATCCCATTGGCCCACAGAGGACCGCTGCTTCATTCCTGGACCCCCCTTATTTCAGAGCCTTGCGAATGCTTTTCGCAACTTGATAACTGAACTCGTTTTCAAGAGAGTCCATTGAGCTTCTGTCCATCCCACAGGCCCGATACACAAACAGCCCGGGATCTGGGGACCCCGGGCACTCTGTGTAGACCCCATAGATACCACTCCAGAATCTAGACATCTTGAGATCGTAGGGTGCCTCATAGCTGTCGAAGACGGTCGCCAGCGCTCTTCCACTCAATGTAATACATTCCACCTCAAAGGAGCATCCTTGCTTCCTGAAGAAGATATATAGGGACGGTGCAAGATAAGAGTGAAAAGAAAGAAGGGAAAGTTGGAGGAGAGCTTTGCAGAAATTGGGACTGGGATTTGGAGGAATTTGTACGTGTATTTCACGTGGCCGAAGCTAGATACTACTACCGGAATTGCTGTAGCCAATATTGATTTTGGTGGGAACAGAACTCCTCTCGAAGCCGTTCTGAGAAACAATACTCGCGTAAGTTAACCGGCCAGTATTTAAGCAACTTCTGACACAAGTGAACTATAGCCGTCGCTAAGCCTAGTTTCAGCATCCTCGCGGGTCAGTAACTGCTGTTATTGATTCTACCCACTCCAGTCAGAGACGCCTTTTTGGGACGCCTTTGTCTCCAAGTTTGCGCTGGCCCGGAATTACATCTCTATAGCTCACACATTGACCATTTCCTACTTTATTCGTTGTGATGCTAGACTTTGCGGTTCATTGTTCTGTGCGAACTGCCGCCTCCACTCCAGAGTCATTGTCTCGTCGAAGTGTGTTGATTGTTTTATCCATGACACAATACACCCATTGTCGGCCTCCGATCAGGATGGGTGTCTGTGGTATCTTTTGTATCGCTTTACCCTCTGAATAGCGAGCCAATCTTTTCAACGATTATCCCGATCGCGGAACCGCCACCTGGAGGTAATGAATGTTCTCCAGAGCCCGATGCTGTAATATGAACTGGGTACTCTAGGCAATTTATAGAATAGAATTAGCTTAGCGCAAATAGCGATGAAAGATACCAGAATCGACGTAATAGTTGAGTGGCATATGAGAGGAAAATTGTCATCCTATTATAATTTGGGGGGAGGGGGTAAGATGGCCTGCGACCAGTTAACTGGTCGTTCGCTAACACTTCCGGTACGGCAAGTCGTGTTGGCAGGAACTTATCCATTTTTTTAAATGCTCGAAATCAATTTATGCCCAGAGATCCTCAAAGGTAAAACATAGTATTTCGCACCATTGAGTGAAGTTCAACTCGACTGCTGTCCACCGATCCGTCGAAATTCGACGCGAGAGGAGTACAATTGGTTAGGTGGAGGTAGGAACGCATCCTGGCACAAGCCTGACGAGCGTAGTGTATCGGTGAGCAAACACCTTGTGCTCGTGTGGACTCCCCAGGCAGATAGCACAACTTGTGGGTGAGATCTTGTAGTAGATCGGCTGGTCCAAGGCAAGCATTAGGAAAAGAACTGCGCCGGCGGAAGACCTCATCAAATATCACAAAATAGCGAACTGGCCGATTTTCAATGCGCATCAAACCAAGTGGCTGAAGGAAAAAGTCCCAGCAACCCGGCTGCGTGATTCCGCGGTCAACCACCGTCCCAGCAAGTGATTGGCCAAATTTGGAGCTCTCCGTGTCGGCTGTTGGGAAGAACCGTGCATCATGATGCTCATCAACGAGCACTATTGTAATCCGCGGCAACGGACCGTGTTGACCGACCCCGAGCGCCATTTTTTTGCACATATCCGGAAGAAGAGGTAGCTCCTGCTCAACCCAAAGCTCGTCATCCCCGTCCGACTCGACACTATGAAAGATGACAACGTCCTCAGGCATGCGATTGCCGTGTTCCTCCCGCCATGAATGAAGTCGGGATTCTATCAATGTATTAAGACAGTGGAGAAGGCCGGTTTTCCTCGCCTGGATGCTAATGTCCGCGGGCCACTGAGACATACCATGGCCCGAAGAAGCCACAATGCCAATGATGCTAACGGTGGACGCTCCGCCCTTGGTGGCGGGTACAGATTCTATAGTGACGCCCACGATCATGGTGGAACGATTTGCGAAGCATCCAAGGTCGGCTGGGTCGACTGAATGGTTTTGACCCCCCAGTTTTAGATTCATCCGAAGGGCAATCTTACCATACAGATCTTGATCGTTCCGCGTCAGCCAGTCGTCCTTCACTTCGATAGAAGGCACGCCATGGATGATGTCACAAGCCCACCGCGCGAGATGAATGAACCGCTGAGCCCGAGGCGAGACAATGATAAGAATCATCGATGGATGCTGTTTTGCGTGAAGGAGGCCCACAGCCTCTTTGATTTGCGCTTGCGCAGTAAGCTCGTTCATTTGGATCCTTTGGCCAGTGGCAACGGGAGATGCAAATATTCCCATACGTCGTAGCCTCTTATGAAGATGACCGAGATGCTGTCTAAGGGTTGGAGATTTCAGTTCAGCGACGTTTTTACTCGGAAGATCGAGGTAGAGCCAGGACCAGGGCCGGAATTGGGCGGCCTTCATAACTCGATGATCGCATAGTCTCCAGGCTCCGTGTGTTATCCGGACTGTGGTTCGCCCCGCGTATAGCACTCGCGGAGGAGCGAGGACGCGACTGTATATAGAAACTGGATCAGGTAAAATCTGTATTTTCATCCTAGCCTGGTGGGTTCAACGGATGAGCATTTATCCATAGGTTCAGACAGATACCAGGCTATCATGGTACTAACAAGTCGTGCATTCCAGTTCTCACACCACCCTGTCATACTTGGATTCTTAATGCTTTCCGTCGTGGAAGTCTGAGAAAACCCCTGCTGGCATTTCTGTGAGCGGGCTGATAACCAAACAAGCAGCTGTTCTGGCTGGGCTTCACAGAGCTCCACAGGGCAGTACAGGGGCTGCTCGAATGTTCCGACGTTAATCACAGGCAGATTTGGATCTAGAGTAATCCCACATTCTTGATTATCAATAAGACAAGTACATGTTCTGCCAATGACACGAAACACTTACTCTGTTCAAAGTACGCTCTTAATGAGATATAGCCATGGCCTGAACGGGGTTGTGAAAGTGAGGCATGTGAGGACTCCTGAAAAACCTCAACTTCCTCAGGTCCGGCCCCAAAGCGGCTTACTTTCGGGGGGTGTCGAAGATGCCCCCCATCCGTGCATGCCGCCAGACCTTGGATCAATCTAACGGCGGTGTGGTGCCGGCGGCGAGAAGTAGTTCGTATAAGGACACGGACATCTTTTAACAATTTCTCGAGCTGATCGAGTCTGTTTGGGAAGCTGGATAAATATTTGCCTATCAAAGCAGAGAACGGCTCTGACCAACGGCCCTGATTTTGCTTCGCTGTCACAATAAGCAGCGTTCGAGCCGTTGCCCTGTATATTCTCACAGAGATCGAACTCGACCCTAGCTCTCGTCCGCTCAAACTTGAGCGAGACTGCGGAGAATCACCAGCGATGTTCATTCCAAGTGTTTTTTGGTTTGCATAGAAGCTCAATATCGTCTGTAATGTGCAGAACAATTCTGGTCGAGTCTCGGGGACCCTTTCGTACTGGGCGGGGTTTAAATATTCTGATATTCCTTGAGCGCTCGATTTGCATCTCAGGAGGAAGTATATCTTGTAGATCGGTCTGGAATGAGTGTCTGTGCCTCGAGCTTCAAACGACGGTTTGAGTCGATATGCTTTAATACTAGGGATTTCTACACAAGAAATCAGTGTTGATTGAAAGTCAGTCACCATCAGGGTCCGTTCTCGTGCAAAGCGTAACTTGAGCAGCAAGGAAATCAACCGCCGAACTGTGGCGGGTCTCAGCTCTGCAGGTGAGATCGAACTTTCAATCCGAATTTCGTAACAGAACAAGTCTTGCTGGGGTAGACAAATAGCGGCAAGGTTCGTTTGCAAGATGTTCGGTTGCCCGAGTGTCCCGTACCCTGGACGATGCGGGAATAGGTCTTTCGGTGTGGTGGAGGCGATATAACTTGCAATACTATCTTCAATCTCATGTACATCGCGCTCCGGTGCTGGAGCCGCGTCTGGGTCATTAAAAATCCTGAGATGTTGTTAGCACTGTTGCTAGAACCGTTCTCTGAGGGACAGGGAAACGCACTCAAAGTCACTTCTGCCGTTGTCGCGGGCAGAATCCATTTTGGTCATCGTTTCCAGGTTCTACAGGTTCGTTATATAAAGGTAGGGGTGGTATTTAATGAAAGATTGGTAGAATATCTGTTTCAAAGCAGTATTGAAATAGCTACTAATTTTGCGGACCGCAACTATCTATCAAGACTTAGTAACCGGAGTATATTCTGCGCATGGAGAGTTTGACAAATACATTCGGAAGTAATGTGATCTCAATGCGTAGTATTATCATAACATCGTCGTGGTCAATCTCATTGGTAGGTTAAGGAATCAGCAACTTATGGCCTCAATCTCTCTCATATATTGATCATGGAGCAGCTCAGTCTACGGATTCTCACTCTCTCCTATACCATTCGTCCCTCTTTCCTTGGCCAAATCTGTCAACTTTTTAATCTGCACTCGCATAACTGCTAAGGTCTGGCTTTCATCGGTGAAGATCTCCCATTGTGAGGCCGTTCAAGCACTGCAGTTGCCAACAAACAATTACGAGCTATGCTCAACCAACCCCTCAATTGGTGCGAAATGCTCCGCCTATTCACAAAGTGGAATGAAAAAACGGTGGCGGAATTTCTGATCAACTCCGAATATATCGACATGAGCCTTTGTGACAGCGAGGGCATGACACCGTGGCACTATGCAGCGGCATGGGGCCATCACAAGACAATGAGAATTCTGATACAAATTCCGCAGTACGTATCATGTTTAGATACACCAGAGAGGCGTCAAGGTGATACGGCTCTCATAATTGCAGCGCGATATCAACAGTATGAGAGTCTCCGAATGCTGTTGGATGCAGGAGCAGATGTGAACCGGCAAAACGAAAAGCGTGAAAGCGTACTTTTCTGGGCCGTTAAACACAACAAGCCGGCCCTAACGCGCGAACTGTTGCGGCGAGGTGCAAACCCAAATCATATGGTTTGTCACGGCTTCACTCCACTTATCATGGCCATTATTCAAGGGCGTCTTGACTTGGTGAAAGCACTGATTGAGGGCGGATCTGACATGAAGCTTCCTGATGATCGTGGCCATCGACCCCTCTCTTGGGCAGTCATCTCGGATGACATTTCCATTGCTGCAGCTCTTCTCTCCAATGAGACGGTCACGCCCACTATCTCGACATCTCCGGCCAAACACTCACCACTTATCTGGGCCGTGATTGTAGGCAACTATGATATGGTGCGATTACTGCTCAGCTATGGCGCTGACATCGCTCAGCAGTCGAGCGACCGCAGGACACCCCTGATCTGGGCCGTGATATATCGCAATGTGTCTGTGGCTAAGCTCCTGCTCCAGAGAGGAGCTCTCCCGGACGAGGTCGATGGCGGTGGAAAATCGGCCCTGGCCTGGGCCCTCTTAGAGGGTAATCAGGAAATGGTTCATCTGCTTGTCAGACATGGGGCGAGTCATGCGAGTTGGATAATGTATAAGTGGTGAGTCAGCTAGTTTCCTAGCTCGTACATGAGAAAGATACTATGACTGATACATTGAAGGTACTCCCCGTTGAGCTTCTCAACACGACATTGTTAGTACTGGCCTCGACAATTATGTGAAATTGTCACGGGCATCCAGTTCGGTTTGACTTATGTCTCGGACGAGGTGGTGAGGGTAGTCACACTCCGGGCCTGTTACAGTGGTCTCATGGAAGTTCAATTGAAAAAGGCCCTAACCACTATCTAAGCGTCCACACACGGACCTTCCATCACGACTTGTGGTGAATTTCAACCTTGGAAAGCGGTATTTGTTTAATAATTTGCCTTAATTTTATATTCGAAAATTTTCGCTATATCGTCCGCAGCCTACTGGGCATACTATCAGAGAAGGGCCTCTCAGTAACATCTTGTCTTTCAAGGGGTCTTGTTTTCAGGGGATCTTGACTCACCACAGGGAAATTATGAGTCGTGACGCGATGAAAACGTGTTTTCCCAAAATATCTACGCATAAAGATACAGGAGAAATCAGGAAAAATGGCAGTGGGCCATCCTTGAATATCCCGACTGAAACCTATAAATGCCCGCATTAGTTGAAGCGAAGGCGAGCATCATAGGGCAGGCCGTAGATTCAGGAGTGACGTAAAATAGAATTAATTCGTCCTGATTTGGACTAGAATTCGCCGTCCCCACAATAATACTAGGAGGGTTCTTCTCATGAAAGCTATGTAATATCTCAAGGCGTTCCTTAGACCTACAGAATGGCAGTATCATGCTGAGCCAAGCTGCTTTGCAACAACGGTCTATTAAAGACAAGGGAGATTCGTCCACGAGTACAGTTTTAATCTGCGATACAAATAACGCAGTACATGTGGTCAAAAACCTAGCATTGGTACTATGATTACTTTATGAAGAGAAAACATTGGTAGAAAGTCTTTTTACTTCACAAATTACCTCCAGATCTAACATATTGCAGGAGACGGGAGTTTTGGGTGAGGTGCATAGGTTTTGTTTGAAAAGCAAAAGCAGTTGCCCTCTTACTGGTCCTTAGATTTCCGGTTCTGTGGGCATCGAGCAACACTCGTACGTATTCATCTAGCCGAAGAGGATCAAGGCCGCAGAAAAGGAGACCGCGACCTTTCACTCTATCCATGACGACTTAAGCTGCCCGAACAGTGCGGCTAAGGAGACAGATGAGCCTCGTCTCTCGTGTGGTGGCCATAGTGGGTATCTACACGCCAGCAAACACAAAGGTAGCGTCAAATCTGGGATATGCCAAGAGGTGCTCTTTCCTGATCAGTATTCCAACTACAGAAGTGCAACTGGCGCATCACGTACCACAATATACAACGATACAGTACGCTCGTGTCGCTCCCAAATATTATAGAGGCGGCGGCACATTATCCCAAGACAGTATGCATTGACGATAGTGCAATCGTGCAGTAATGTTAAGAGTAAAATTTCCACCGGGCGCTTAGCGAGGCATTGAGAACGAATCGGAGTACTGCGGTCATGATTTTGCATAGCTAACGTGAGAGACCACAGACCACACCCACAGCGACAAACAGTACTGCCTTGGGCTGTAAGTATTCTAAGTCAAATGCCTTCTACCAGCCAGGTACTATATCAGTTTGTGTATATTACGCCCCAAACTCACATCAAGCATGATTTTACTCTCCACTTTACTTCACATGAAGGGCAGGACCTAACCGTTCCGCGCTAGGCTAAACCTATTAGTTACTAGCCGCACCCGACGGTTAATAAATGACGATTACTTCTAAAAGGGGCTTAATGATCTATATCACCACTTATTGGTATTGAATGAAGAATTGCTGCATAATAATAAAAAATATGAGCACAGATACAGTACCGGGCACTTCGCGTCGCGGTTCGTCTCAGTGGTTCCAGGTGGGACCGCTTTACGACAAATCTATGATCCTGCCACACATACACCTGTATTATTAACGATTGGGACCCTGAGCCCCACGAGCTCGTAATTTCAGACAAGGATTATCAGAATCTCGCCAAACACTGCCAGGTTGCGCGAATGTTCGTATTTTCAGGTGCTTACTATGCTCCACATCCACAATTCGCAAGCAACTTGTTGCCTTTCTGCAGGACTTAGTTGATTGTCCTCCAGCACAACCAGGCCCAAGTTCAAGCAGCCTAGCGGGTGGCTCGAGAAGCGAGAATTCCGGACCAAGGCACTGGTTGAAGACGTACCATCGCCGAGGAAAGATTGTGGTGTCATATGGTTTTACCAATCGACTGGCCATCTCCGTACTGGGGAACAGGGTGGCTACAAATTCAATTCCATTGATATGGAACGATGTAAAATGACTTGGAGTTGCAGCGACCTTGAGACCTCTTCGATAAACCTTTAGTCAAGGTTGGTGCAATGGTATCACAAAATCTGTGATATATTATTGCAGATTGTTGCTCCTGGATCAATCTCGGAAAAGACAGCCGTCGTGATTATCCGCAGTTATGATAAATTAGACGAATAGGGCCATTACTTTTCTCGGAAGGATGGCAAATGATTTTGGCTAGCCATGAGCTCTTAGCAAGGGAGTTTAGAAAGTGACGATATGTCAAACTGTGAAAGGCCACGCTAGGAAAATGAAGTCGATCATATTACGATATATCACATTTTGGCTGGTACCGAGTATCTCGCCGGGAAGAGAGAGACTGTGTGAGATACACTATGATCACGCCTCTGGTGGTGGGCCTCCATAACGAGATACCCAAAAATTCCAACGTCTTGTTATTTGTCTGGTTGCTGGTCGGAATCGACAGCGGATTGCTTTATCTTCTTGTCTGGTATAAGATTGGGTCGACGAGGCTGGGCCCCGCGGCTTGCTCCATCTTTCGATCTTTAAATTGTAACTGTTGAAGTGGATCATTGTTCCGAGAAATTGTGAACACAGTCTTTGGTCGTCGGTTATGTATGACAAGTAGGATACCAGCCGCCACGAAGCATACTGCCTGACCTATTGCCAGGACCAGCGCAGTCACCAATAAGTTACTCAGCTTCAAGCCATAAGCAATGTGTAGTCCGATGTTTACCACACCGAAAAGATCAGCAACGAGTGAGAGCCTGGTCAGACGATCAGTAGGTTGATCACGGAGAAAGAAACAGATCTTGTACTACCTATTCCCCAGTAGTGACAGTCGTGATCTCGCCGCTGCCCACGGGAGAAGGATTAAAGGCAGAAATCCACTCGCGACTAGCGCGAAGGACATTCCTAAGCCTACACCCAAGCTGCTCGAGGTTGTGGTCCTGAAGTCACGTAGCGCAAGTGGGAAAAGCAAAAAGCTGTGCGCAGTTGTCAGAGCCAAAATGAAGTATTTTCTTGAGACTTGACGAACCTTATGAGAATGAGCACTGGAGGTAGGAAGTTGATCACTCGCCAATGCCAACGGAGATATGTCCGACGCAGTTTGTCGCTTTCCTCTACGGTCTTGACCATCTTGGCATCTCGAGACCAGCCTTCCATTGGGTCAGTCCAGTTGCGGTCGTCTGCGAACAATTTTTCGTTGTCATAAGCCGTAGGTGAGTGACCAGCTCCTTTGCTTTAAATTGGTGGGCCATTGAGATACAAATACCCCGCTCTACTTGTCTAGGCTTGGGCTGTTTTGGCTATTTCTGGCTTAGAATGACGAAATCATGCATTCTTAAGCTTTGACCGACAAGTGTCATGAAGCACGATATTGCTTCTCAATTGAGATGGATGAATGGGGCATTTCACCGGTATCGTGTTGTACTCCAAGGTTTGTTCAGATGTCGGTGGCTGGCGCCCTATCTGTGCGCAGTTTGCGAAGAGTCATATATCGGAGATTGACGACTGTCTACTTCAAGTACCCAACTGATAATTTCCACAATCGAGGTAAAGACGAGCATTTGTTTCAACTTTCCTCAATATATTTCTTTAATGTGCTTATAGCCAAGCTGTTGGATACTTTGAAGCGAGGGACCTCCTACAGCATGACGCTGCACAAATTCACGATATGTCTCTCCAGATACGTTTATGGGTCATTTGCTAGAGGCCTCAACATTAATGAAGGGCACATCGAACAATACGTAATCGTACAATTTTCGCTGACACTGAAATCACGTTGGCCGGTTGCTCAATACGTAATGTGCCTCCGTACCTTAATCCCGGAATAATCAAAGCGTTCCCCCTAAGACGGTTCTACGTATCTCTACCATATGGAGGTAGAGAAAAGTATTTCTATAGTTCCGTAGTTCATAATTCTGTGTTAGCTTTTTCAGCACATATCAAATAGCAATCACCCGAGAAAATCCATTGGAGGGTAATATCCAACTTAAATTTATTGGTCTTACAATGAGCTGCAACGAATCCATTCGCAAATTATCAAGGAGTGGGCCCAACTCTGAAAGTTTCCTTTATCATCCATCTCCAAATTATCTCCAAATTCACGCATTTGCGAGAAACTGCCTTATTTAGCTACCTTCAATGGCTTGTGTAATGTAAAAAGCAGGTACAGTATGTGGAGCAACGCACAAACTTTCTGTGTTTCTGTGAAGTAGAGTATTGAATTTAAGACATAGGCCGAACTTATTCTCGCTCGTGACCGAGCCTTGGAATTTGGTTCTATTTCCTATAACGTCTGTGCCATTGGTGCAAAGTAATGCCTTTCGATCAAGACTTATCCAGCTCAGAGGGCTTTAAATCCATAATTGAAATATTTCCATGATCATGAGGCCTCGATCGTGTAGTAAAGGAGATGTCAAGCGACCTTCCGTAGGCTTGTTAAGAAGCTATAGTTCATCATTCAGTAAGGAACCAGAGTTTGGCCCTCAGAGTCAACAAGACTCTGGGCCCAAAGACAGCCCGAAAATACATAGCTACCATAGACATTAAGTTACTTCACGAAGCCAGAAGCCCCAACATGCGGCTGAGATTGTCATAATCTGGTATCTGGTCAGATGCAAGGGCTTTGACCGAGTTCATATACTCGCACAGTGGCTGCAGACCACTGCATAGATTCTCCGTTGCGATGGAAGACTTCATTGACAAGATTGAATCAGCTGCCATACCATGCGCTTGCCACGGGAGCTGCCCGCGAAAGAGAAATACCAGGACGTATCCCAGTGATTCCATATCATCTCTCCGCGACAGGGCATCCCCTTGCTGATGGAAGCGGCTTGAAAATACAATGGAACTTTCAGCGCCTGCTGGCAGGCGAGGTAACGGTTCCAGGTCCTGAGTAGCCCCGAACCCGATCAGAAGCATGCGCTTGAAAGACAGGTCATAGACAATTTTTCGCGGTTGCACGTCTCCGTGGATGAAGTTTTTTCTGTGTATAAATTTCAGTGTGGAAACCATCTGCTTTCCAATGTCCGCAATCTCTTCTAGCGAGAAAAAAAGGCCGCTGCTTGCCAGTCGCGGTCTCCCCAGTCGAACTTGCACAGCGTGGTGAAGAGTAGGGCCCAGCCGCTCCATAACCAGATAATATCGCCATCCGCAGGCATGTCCTCTCTTAAACCGGTGATGGCCGTGCCGATAAACTGATGGGACTCCTTGGCTTGGGCTCAATTGTCGGTATAGCTCGTTTTCATGATGGAGGGTACTGCTCTGCGGACTGAAGAGCCCCGAGCCTCGCTCCGTCTTTACTGTGACCTTCCCTTCTTGGATAAATCTTATCAGACTCTGATGCAGAAGAGAACAGTGGTTGACAAACCTTGATTCTCGACCAGAGGGTCGGTGTCTGCAGGGCTCTTCCTCGGATAATATCCAGATGCCTTTTTTGTGTCGGGGCGTCTTTGCTTCAAGATATCAGCGACGTTGACGTAGAACATGGTCTCTTCGTACCATTTTCATGGCTCTCGCGTAGCCTTCTAGGTTGTCTGGCATTAGGATGTCTAAGTAGAACGTCCCCGAGCCGATTCAGATGGCCGGAGCAGGATAAACGTAGCCTACACACACATGAGGAATAGGCAAGAGACTAGTGACGGATTTGTATTTTCGGATTCAGGTTCTGCTTTAAAAATTCCCGCCAAGGCTGTGCCCTAGCCCCACCTACTACAGTATATCGGTCATACGGCGAAAGAATCAACGGTCAAATTTGAATAGTTCGCTGCGATTCTGGCATTCTATAGTTGCGAACATTTGCAATTTGAAATCACGCGAAGATGGTCGACAAACAGCGCGCAGTACCCACTGAAGAGCTCACTCTTCAAACCCAATTTCCACCGCTAACCGAACTGGGCCAGGCAATAGGTTGCCCCCAATGCCTCCGAGCTCTGCGGTGGATGTAGTGTAGGCATTGTGAACAACCTTTGCACCCTTTGTTATGTATGAGCAGAGACCTTTGTTGAGAGCGGAGCAGATTTGCATGCCCTGGACCTCTAATTGTGCATATTGAGCTTGAATTGCAGAAACGTCGAAGCCAGACCAGCCATCATTTTCGGTGGAGCCAAAATCGAATTCCCCCCAAGTAGAGGCATAGCCGCCATATTGATCTTTGGGGATCGATGCCGCTTTTGTCATGGCCCAACCACCCTGGGAGTTTGGGGCAAAGGCAACGTATTTCGTTTGCCCGGCCGCCAGCGCGAAAGAACGACAGGCATTACCATACCACCCGTCCATTCTACCGCCAGGACCTATTTTGTTCCAGATAACCACTTTCCATTCCCCTGTTGGCGAGCCCGTAAATTTTGCGACATATTTGTATTTACTTGCTTGTTCGGGCGGAATAATGATGATATTGCTTCCATAGGGCTTGCCTACGTTGCCCACATACGTATCGCCGGAGCCACTTGGTTCAGTGGACCCTCCAAACCCCGATGTTGTATAGATCCCATCTGATGGGTAAGCCGTCCAGATTGTGGTAGATGAAGCACTAATCCAAGAGGAGGTTTGATGATCTCTATCAATGAGTGGACTGAGACTGCTACCTAGAGCCACTGTTGCCATGATTGTGACCCATATTGACCTTAATAGAACTGCCATCTGGTTATGTATGGGCTGCTCCTATAATCCAGATGAATTGTCGTGAATCACAAAAGTCTGGCAGTTTCTCCGGGGAGATTGCTTTCATAGGATTTCAAATACTGAATAGCAGTTTCCTTTTCGTTGTAAGCATTACCCTTTTGATTTTCTTGCTTTCTTTTTCCTTTCTTTTTCTCTTGTTATTTCTGGAGTTCCTGCATGGTTCATATTTCCGGACTTTATGAAAATTATCTTCAGGCTGGATTTGGGCGTGTGGAATAGTCGCAAACCGCATTTCGTCTCAGGTGTTTCAAACCGTTTCGTATTCGCAAGGCCCCAAATGCTAGCGTAGAGGGGATTTTGTCTGGCATTAAATTTTATATCAGCAATTTTTGGACTCAGTCTGTCTATAGTTAGAGCAAATACAAATCCAGAAGCCATGCAGCCGGACGTTGGCCCTGGATAGGTGATGGATTCAATCCATCGTCCTTAGGCTGTGGTGGAGAAATCGCAAGGCGCGATTACAGTAGGTCAGGTCAATACTTCAGACCAAAAAGAATTTGATGGAAATATATTTTATCATGATACATAATTCCTTTTCGTTACACAATAAGGTCCTAGACATCTCCAGGGGTGATACGTCGGATGCTTCTCCTCAACCTATCTTGACCATTGGCAATCAGACCTAGGAACACTCAACACCCGAGCGCATTCAATTCATAGTGTGGCAGCTCATCGATGATAATCCACGCACATTCTTCTGCCTCGGCTAAAAGTTTACAGAGGCTCATTGTCGGCCCAGATGTACTTGATTGTGGCGTATGATTCACCCCATCCAATGGGTTGGGTGTATTGAGTACGGCGCGTTGTAGCCAGAGTAAATCCTCCAGCGTTTTCTTTAGACCAGGAGTCCGTTGAAGTGTCTCGGAAAAACCACCCTCATTGTGGTCAATATACTTGTGGAGAATCAGATAGACTTTACGTGAGAATTTCGGCGTTGAACACTCATCCAGGCGTTGTGGGTAGTCCAACATATCTGAGTACGACAACTTTGAAAAATCCCCTAGCGTTTTCAATATATCTTCATGCTGGTTTTTTTGCAAAATCATCTTGGTCAATCACAACGGCTATTTGATGCCGTGATATGATTGCCTGAGGTAGTCCAGCTTATAACACCAGTAACAGTAGGTCAACTTAGGCCAAAAATAGACATGAATGTGTCCACACATCCATAAATGGACATGAAAGCGTCTTTGGCCCAGAATTTCTCTCCACAAGCCCTTAGTCACAATCCGTTCAAAATATCATTTACAGTACCTAAATTTCCTTCTGGTAAGTTACTGGTGTTAATGCAATGCCACCTCCGCGCGCCATAATCGAGCCCTGTTATCAAACCAGGCCTTCGTTTTCTGATTTATATTTGTACTGCAGTAGAAAATTTTCATCTATATCGACGTTCCCTCCATGTTCTCAAGTTCCCTTAGCCGCTCACTGCACGGATACAATAAAAATGCAAAACTAGAGGACTCGTTTGGTATCACTGGACTGGTTGTCCAACATAGTTTGTAAGCAATTACGAGAGGGTGCGAATCATGAGGCGACAGAAGGAGGTGGGTCGCGGCCAACCCTAAGGCTAGCAATGAGTCTATCCCATGGTCCGTAACCTTCCAACCAGTCTTGGTTTTCTCAACAAAACTTGTTCCATGGCCAATGCACAGGAATTCAGGAAGCGAATCTCTCTCTAAGCGATCTCGTAGGAGACGCTGGAGGCAGCGCCAAAAGAACATCATGTCTTTTAGTTCATCAATCGATAATCCGCGCTGATTGCCCCAGGCAAATGATTCCGGAGGATTATCGAGGACTTCACTCTGAAAACTGGTGCGGCGAAGAGCACAATTGTTGCCTCCATCGGTAGCACATCCCTCCAACCAGGCTTTTTGACCTTGGAGATCACACTCGCGTCCTTTACCTGATCCGAAAATTCGGCAAAAGCTCCAGATCCGCCAAAGAGCACGATGCATAGCGCTCCATTGTGGGTTTTGGTGATCCATGGGAGCCAGTCGCAGCACATCATACCGTTTCCTGTCAAATAGCGGTGCCATTGGACACTGTGTGAGGATTGCCCCTGTTATGTAAGCACAAATAAACAACTCGTATGCGTAATGGTCGCAGTAGCTTTGGACATTCCAGTCCAATGATCTTCTTCTGTCATTCGGTACGAGGTGCTCAAAATACTCCCACGATCCGGGCGATGGAGTCTGCCCCGAAGAGGAGGAGAAGATCCCCATCTCTCTCAATTCCCACTGTTCGGGGTGCGTCTTCTTGAGCACAGATTTTGTTAAAAACAACCCAGTGGGATAGTCTGACAGGTTCACTCCGTGAACTCGAGCCCGCTCAAAAAGCTCATCCAACGAGGTGGCGCTTTGCAACATAAGGAATGGTGGCCCGTCGTCGTCATGAGACTCGCGTATCAGAACTCCGGAGGTCGTAGCTACTACGTCATTTTGTTCTCCTGGCAAGCTCTGCGGGTCGGCTAGACGCGAAATTTCTTGCAAGTCTGACCCTGCATCTTGGCCCAGGTTTTCAACTTGACCATTACTGACGGACAGCATAAGGCGCACGCTCTTTGGCGGCTCTCGCAGGCCTGTGGAAGCATGGTCTATGGGAAGAACCTGGCATCGACGATTGTGCGCTTTAACCGACGATATGTCGCTGCTACAAGGAAGCCTCCAGAGCGACTTCAATATATCGTCATCATTACTTAAGCTGAAGTCTTCATCAATCGGCCATGATTTTAGTATTCTGCGCGGCATGGGTTTCTCCCGATAAACTTGGAATACAGTGAAAAGGAGACCCGGCTACAGCGGAAACAGTCCACTGATATCCAACTTAGAATATGAAATCCAGGCTCCCAGAAAATCAAATATCGAGTCTCATACCGGATCTGCTCTTGACGGCCATTTTTGTCTTTGGTGTATTTTGTGGACCGCCATTTTTAGATCACTGCTGATGATTATGTAAAGACGCTGTTTACGAATGTCGGACAATTTCCTCAGGGCGATTCCTCTGCGCAAGCCTTCGTCTTCATTTAGTCTTGTTGTAGTTGCGCTCTCACTGTTCTGTGAGAAGACCAACTTAACTTACAGGGCCTACCGTTGGTTGGAACTGCCATAGTGGTCAAGACGAGTCATTCGTCTTCCTTGCTGATATTGACCAAGCAGGTGGAGCTGCTGCACCTAGAGTACTATACATTTGTTGGTCCCACTTCTTAAAGAACACATTTACATCAGTACTCAGGTGCAAATTTCGTGTCTTTGTAGAGTCTCTCAATCGGTTGAGCCAGTAAGATTGTCTTTCTATCATAAAATAATTCACAAATGATTGGGTCAAAAATTTTCGCACATCCGTGCTTTACCCTCTGGCGAGGATGAATGCATTCTGCTTTCCAACAAGGACAACGTGTACTGCACGAAATTCATCTAATTATCACTATGGCGACGTAACATTAACTTGTCATTCCATTATCAGCAGTGCCCCATTGTATTGGTTTCCGTGTATTGAGTTCCACTCTGACTCCACTGATAGGATCCTCAAAAGCCACATTGCTATTGGATATAAGGCCACCGAGGGCCATGCTCACTTCTGCGAGCAAGTCAGCCCCAAAGGAGGGATAAAGTTGGGTCTCCTCAAAGAATTTGTAATTTTGTTGCCGAAGATATCCCTCCACCGACGCTTTAGCGAGGACATGACGAACAGGGTGTTTTGGTGGTAGCGTGCATGCGGAAGCAATGTGTTGGGAAGTTATATAGTGGGTATTGGTATCTGCGTGCCGCCAATAAGGATCAGACTCGGGGCTTGGGTTACTGAGAACAACCTTTTGGATATACTCGGCCATGGGCGCTGCTAACCCACTGATACGACACATATCGGCCAGCCTTGCTAGCTCTATTGCTGCGGAGATCTGCTCTGTAGGGTCATCCACGGCGAAAACTACCGCACGGAGGTACAACCACTGAATCAGAGCCTCTAAGCTCTGATCTGAAACGACGCCTTCAACTTTTTGGAGAGCGAACACACTGTGTTGGGTCTCTAGAATTGGCCCCTCAAGCATTGCTGAGAAGTACGACGACATGGTACAGAGAAGACTTTTAGACACCGTATATTCTCGGTCACTGGACGCCACTTGCAATCTGACATAGGGACCACAGTAGAGTGGAAGAACGCTGAGGAACTGATGTTAGAATGATAGCCTTTGAACCCTTAGAAGTGAACCAGGCGTACTTTGCAACAAACTCACTCGCACAGCACACCTCTGTCATCGTGGTCAGATTGGAGTCTTCCATTGTGCCAACACCCTGTGGGACGATTGATGTCGATAGACACAAGATCCTTAGATGTATTTATTGTCGCCATGGACGTCTAATGTTCCAAGAGTGTGATATTCCTGGATTGCCCCGCTAATGCTTAAATGACCCAGAGAGTTACTAAATAAAGATGAGTGCAAGGCAAATACCACCAGGGTGAGTTCGTTTTGGTAGCTGTCCCTGCGACGAGCCTCCCGTTCTTCTTGCTAAAAATAATGCCGACAGCATGGAAGACTAGTTTGTTTTTTCTGTTATATGTGCGTTTATTTTCACAAGTCTATTTATGGTGTTGGTTGATTTAATCAAATTTCCACTCTTATATGGGCGATCAGAAGTGACAACACATACTTCATCTCTGTAGAATACAAAGTCTGAAATTGGCATGCGGTTCATGGCCGGTGTGTGGTTTCGACTATCAGATAGGTATGTTGATAGAAGGCGCTCCGTGAGGTTCATGCTCTTACGTCTCAGTTGGTCGCGACACGCAGCCTCTCCAATGATAGACTCATATGATCTGGAGCCTCACGAGCAGGGCAATTTGATGCAACCCCCTCCTTATACGAGTTTGCAAACAAAGCCGAGAGAGGACTTGCGATGTATGAATTGTGGTAAACGTCGTTC